CACACATTAAGATGTGTGGACTTCAACTCCAAGAATTCCCCAGCCAGCCATGCTTGCTGGTCAACTTGAAGGAGAGTTTTTCTAAATCTACATCCACAGTTCGCAGGTGGGGTCAAGTCAAATAAGGGCTGTAGAGAAATGGATGAAAAGAATTAGTAATAATAGGCTGGCTCTATAGAAAAGTCCTTGGAAGGTTCGCAGTTATGGAAGCCCTTATGATTGAGTGATTTAAAAGTTCTTGAGATATTTACATTTATCTGCCTAGTCAAACTTTGATTTTAATAACCCAAGCTTTGATTAGTGAGAATGGTTGATTTTTATTTATTACTCAAAGGTAATTGTAATTATTATTATTCTCTTTTCTACTGTATGTAATCAAATTTTACTCAGTATTGGATACATCTATTTAATGTGAAGGATCAATTTCATTCTAGGGATTAAGGCCTGATTAAAGTTATATCAAACGCGAATCCTTTGTAAATTCATTTATAATTTTTACATTTTCCAAAGTGTTACTGTTTAAATTCTAGAAGGCCCAAATGTATTCATAATTATTGGTTTCATCATTAGAATGGATGATGGTTAATTAACTAGTTTTTTAAAATGATGAACAATCCTAGTATTATTTGTCCTAGACTGGTGTTGAATTTTTTGTTTGTTTTTTTTAAAGTCTTTGGATGTGTTTGGGCCAATTATTTCATTGTCCAATCACCCTCACAAAATTTTAAGAAGGATTAGACTGGAGGAGAGTGCAACCTGGGGAAAGTGATGAGTATACATGCATAGAGTTATCGAGGTTTATTGCATAAGGTCGATTAGCTTTTACAAAATATATATATATAGATAGATGAATAATATCAGTAGCTTAGAAGAAAAACAGATTTAGTTCATGTACTTACTTTTAAAAAAATTTCTGTGTGAAATTAACATTCAGGATGTCTGTAGAAGGTGCTTTTTCAAGAGGCAATTGGACTTTCTGGTTTTTCTTTGAAGAGGTTTCACTTCTCATCCAAGAAGCTTATTCAGCTCTGACTGGATGATGGGGAATGAAAGGATGTCTACTCCTTTCAGACAGCTTGTCATTTGCATTCTTTTTGAATGCAATTCTTTGGATGCTTCTCACCCAAGAAGCTTCTTTTGAGAAGCAAAACATCTTCAAAGAAAAATCAGAAAGTCCAGTTGCCTCTTCAAAAACCACCTTCGGGACAACCATGACTTGGATGACTGAGAATCTCCATAAACATCTGTAGAGGATCATAAAAAGTCAAGCTGGCACCCAGGACCACCTGATCAAAGCCCTGCCCATGTAAAATGCCACTTTGACTTTTTTGACTATCTCCAGTGATCATTCCTGCATTCATTCTTAACTTTCACTGCACTGTGGGTTTAAATACTGGTCAAAGATTCATTTCCAATCTCAAGAGCTGGCACAGCTAATAATATGTCTTAGAAACTCCAAATTTATAGAGAGAGAGACTGTTTTTTTTTTTTCAAAGCCCATGGGACAACATCAGGAAATGGTGGCGCTTGCAGAATACAATAAACGCTCATCAAGGGTACAAGTAGACTATAGGAGTGCACAGATCTAAATCAACTTACAACAATAAATGTTGACAGCCACATTATTTTTTAAAATTGTGGAAAATTCCTTGTGCATTAAGGCTCTGCTCTTGTAAAGTTACAGGTAATCCTTAATTTACAACCATTTGTTTAGCGACTGTTCAAAGCTACCGAAGCACTGAAAAATATGCCCTACAACCAGTCCTCACTCTTAAAACCATCACAGTATATCCCAACGGTCAGGTGATCAAAATTTGGTCACTTGCCAATCAGTCCTCACACAGCCATTGAAGCAACCATTGCAGCATTCCTATAGTCATGTGATCAAAATTTGATCACTTGGCAATCCGCATATATTTACAACGGTTACAGCATCCCAGGGTCATGTGATTACCTTTTGGAACCTTCCCAGTCAGCTTCCAAAAAGCAAAGTCACTGGTGAAAGCCTTCATTTAACGACTATACGATTCACATAATAACTGCAGTGATTTGTTTAACTGTGGCAAAAAAAGGTTGTAAAATTGGGCAGAAATCATTTAACAATCACCTTGGCCAGCAACAGAAATTCTGGTCTCAATTGTATTTATAAGTCAAGACTACCTGTTGTAATGTTGAAAAACAAACTATATTCTGCAGCACGGTAACCTCTATCAAGATATACTGTATGTAAAGAGCTACTAATGCCTCGTCTAACCTCACGTTCATTTTTATGTTCAGTTTTTATTAATGCATATTGACCACAAGGTGACTCTTGCAAACTTTATTTTCGTAGCTTGAATATTGCTGATAACAAGATAGGGCAAGCATGACTGTACAATATATTTTTCATCCTGTATGCCTCATTTTATTTTTTATGTTCTATTTTATAACTCTATTCTGTAAGTTTATTCAATAAGCCTTATTTACCCTGGATCATGGATCTGTAATGAATTATTTAATTTGGTTTGAACTTCCATCATTAAAACAGAGCAGATCTTCACCTCTCTTAGGTGAATCCTAACTTTTATTGTTTGCTTTTTTAACAAATATCAGGTCAGCTGTGCTTGCTGTTACTTATGAAAATTTTGCCTATCACACTTGTGACGTTTTTTCCCCCATTTTCCAAGCTTGGCTGATGTAGCACCTGGCTAATGACCTGGACTAGGTTTGCAAGCTAAACAAGGAGAGACAAGTTACAGATATGACCACGAGAGAGTTGCAGGGCTGGAGCATAGACTGAGAAATTGAAAAACATGCTTCTGAAAAAGAGGCCATCACCATCAGAAGTGGGATTCACATAATTTACATACTGGTTTGCCCAGCACTGAAAATATGAGCATGCATGCCTCCTCCTGGCCTTCTGCGCGTGTGCTTTGCCTTCCGCACGTGTGCTTTGCCTCCCGCACATGCGCCCAGCCTCAATAGGACAACATAGAGCTGGGGCGGGGGGCGGGGGGGCAGGGGGGCGGGCCCACCCGCAATTTCCGCTACTGGTTCACTTGAACCGGTCCAAACCAGCTAAATACCACCTCTGATCACCATGCATGATGGTATCCTGGCATTCATTTCTAGTTTCACCTGAGGGAAACTTCTTGTTTTTTTATATCCCATGTGTCCAAACTATTTCTTGCTTTCCATAAAAATAACTGGCCTCATCATCCCAGGCCAAAAGTGTCTAGTAAATGAGGTCAGGTTCTGATAATTGTGGACATGATTTTGCTTGAAGAAATGGCAGAATGCTTTAGGAAGATTTCCAGGTTTTGACAGGAAATTGGCAGTGGTATTTTAATGGTGAATTTTTTGGAAAACATCAAGGAGTAGCATCAGAGAAAGGGTCAAAAAAGGCAAGATGGTGGCTACTATCGTGTGATCATAGTCCTGTCCTTTTTTACATGTGTTTCTAATCATATGAGTTAGGTCCACCATCTTGCCTTTTTTTCACCCCTCCCCATAGACACCCTTGAAAGCATCGTAGTCTCTGTTCTGTATACATTTGGGCCTCTGTGCACATATTTTGGCTATGCTACTATCAGTTTCACCAAAGAATATGGTCATGAGAGGAACAAAGTAAATATTTTTTAAAAATGCAGAAAATTAACTATTTAAGACAATTTAACTATTTAAGTTACATATAATAGTTATATCTCCAGCTGCAAATTATGGCAAAAACTCAAGTGACACCTGGTCTCAACTCTGTTTTAAACAGAGGTATATTTGTTTGCCCAAAATCAGTAACTACGGTAATTTAACTGACTTTGTGACTAAGTTAAGCAGTGTCCTTAAATGTCAGTGTGGAGTGTGGAGTCATCCACTGTTCACCCTAAGATTAGATATGGTGAAGAGGTCACCAGGAACAGCCTGTGTTGATGAGTAGGAGTGAACTCAGCTGTGTGTGCTTCACAGTGTCTCTAGGATCCATTAAGTAGCATAAGATATTATCTCATTTCAATTCTGGAAATAAGACTCAGTGCTAAAATGGATTCATCCAGTCTTGAATGGTCCATATTTATTCTAAATCAGATCTTCCTGACATTTTCTATCCCAACTTCTATCTCAAATATATACAATTTTGAGATTCAGTGAGAGCCAAAATATACTGTAAAGTGAACTACTCACATAGAAAGCAATGAAAGAGATGATAGGGCACAATTCCAAAGAGAAAATTTCTTCAGACATTCTAATGTTCAGGGATTTCCAATCTTCTTATAAAAGCAGGGATGATCAACCAATCAATTCCTGGGTAATTTTGCTAGAATTTCTCATCCCCCTCAAACTGTCATTAGGGCATGGCAAAATACTGAATTCAAGCTACATTTTTTTTTATTATGAGCATCTGTTTATAAAAAGATATTTGTATGACATATATGCATTCAAGTATGACCACTTGCTGCTAGGAATAGTCATATGGTTACTGCAGAATCTTAATTTGGGAGGGCAAAATAGTATTATTATACATATAGTAAATCAAGCCCAGCTCTCAGTTTAAAAGAATATCAGATGTACGGCAAATAAATGCCTCTTTCTGAAGTACAGTAACTCCAAGCAAACAATACAGGACTAGATGGATGAAGGACGGATAAGGTAAATGAATGAATAAACGGGACAAATTCTAATAGAGAATGGTTGAGAATACCATTTTGTGCAGCAAAATTTATTTTAAGCCTTTAAGAAAGTGAGAGTACTTCCAAATAATAGAGATGCTAGCCTTATCAGATCACAATTAAATCTGGAGCAAAAGAGGAATTATATACAATATCTGTTGATCAATTTCAGTAGAACAGTTTCCTTAGTCTGATAGCTCCAGTTTGTTGGATATAACTTAATTCTTGAGGGGGGGGTTGATAAAAGTTGTTGGTTGGGGAAAGCTATAGTAAAAACACCTCTGTCCATTTCTTTAACTCAGTATTAGAAAAATATGTATTTTATGAGGTTATAGTCCTATTTGTACTCTTTGTTAACAGCATGCAAGACAATACTTCTGAATCTTCAACGTCAATAACTCAACTTCTGAGAGAGAGCTATTTAGCTGAAAACAGCCATCAAGGTAATAGTGAAAGGAGTAGATCAGAATCTTCTCTGCATTCTGTCCATTCTGGGAGTACTTCCAGGGCTTCTGATGAGGTAACTGGCCAGGATGAACTTCCAGATCTTTCTGCCTTTTTGAGCCAAGAAGAGCTAGATGAGAGCGTGAATTTGGCCAGACAAGCTATCAATCAAGAACCACCTGAGAACAGCCAAGAAGAAGAGCAGCAGATCCACGTGTTCTTACCCTCCGAGTTGAAAAACTCTGAAAATATTATTTCAAAGAAGAAGCAGTTCCCATCTACGGCTTCACCAACTTCAGGCAACCATCCAAAGAAGCAGCAGCCATTTGGATCAGAGACAGAATCGAAGAAAGAGTTGCTCAACAAGGCTGCCGATTTTATTGAGGAGCTTTCTTCTCTTTTCAAAGCACACAGTTCAAAAAAAATCAGGCCCAGGACATGCAAAAACTACAGGAGCAAACTTGACTCTAAACACAAGGCCAACCAAGACAATTCATCTGAAAACAGGGAAAGGCCTTGTGTTCCAATATCTCAAGAATCAGATCAAATCCAGCCTTCACTGGAAAATCCAGCTTATCCTCAACAGGCAGATGTGGAAGTGGTCCATACATTAGAAAATCCAGAATTAAGCACAGATACATCAGTTGCACCTTTTTATTCTGAGGAGCCAATAGGTCAACCGCCACATTTTACTCAGAAACTGAAAAGCAGAGAAGTCTCTGAAGGAACCAAAGTGCAGTTGGACTGCATTGTAGTAGGAATACCAACACCTGAAATCAGGTAAACATGTCCCTATTTTATTTATGTACTGAAAATAAATCTTCGTGGAATGGGCGACTGTAGTTAAGTACCTTCACTATTTGGTCAGTTCTCTACTAGGACCCACCATTGCTCATAGACAATTTTGTTTCAGTACTTACTCCTTTTGGGATTATTAGAAATGAAGAATCACTTATGAACTACATCTCCCTTAGTTCTGTCTCCACGTTCTGCAAACTTTCAGGCAAAACACTTTTATGCACGTTTGTTTTTAAGGTGGTGGTGGGCAGACCACAGAGTTACATGACTTATATTTCCCCAACATGCTGAGAACATTCTGTGAAAATTCAGTGGCAAAATGGCTATTTTTCAACTTTGTGATGCTCTTTTTCAACCAAAACAGTGCAAAGAAAAGAGAGTGGAAGGCAAATATTAAGCCCTCTCCAAATCCCCTGAATCTGAAATTATACAGCAGAAATTCACCCATTTTGCATCTAAATTTTCTTGGCATATGTAACCCACTTTGAAATCATTTGGGTTGTTTACATTGGAAGTGGAAGCAGTTTGCCTTGCAACAACTTCCCTCTCTCCATTCCCATTTTAAAAACCTTCCAGTAAAAGGGGAAATGCTTGCAAGTGTTCTCCCATCCTTCCAAGGGCACCCATAAGACAAAATTTGATTTTTAAAAAATCAAGATGTTTATTGTGACTACTGTACTTGATCATCAACCCCTTTGTTGGTCATTGTAGATGCAATACATGTAAAAAGGAAATGGGGCTTTAATTGTGTGGCTGCTATCCTGACTTTTAATACACATACACAAAAATACACACACACAAAAATACACACACACACCAACTCTTACACACACAAATTGTAGGAACCCATGAAATCTCTGCATTGTCCATGTCACTGCTGGTCACATCTTTGCTTTCATCTTTGGGACTCAATCTGCAAAAGGCTCAGATCAGCTTAATGATGTATCCCAAGCACAAATTGTTGTATATTATTTACAATTTTCCCATTTTTTGCCATTGCTCCTTCTACTCTTATTTTAAGAGGGAAACACTGGATTTATGGTTTTTAGTAAAGCACCAGGAACACTGAAATTCTTGGAAAGGGATCCTGTGACATTATTATTGAATTTTCACAAATTAAAATTCTCAAAAAAAAAATCAATTACACCATAAATCCTCAAAGGTCATGGTTTTCCTTGTGCATACTGCAATGTATACCCCGTTACTAATATTTAGTAGAAAATATATACCCTGTTAATTATGTTCATTTTTAGTAATTTAGTAAAAAATTAATCCTCTTTTGATGCCTCCTTAAACAAGTTGATGGAGTGACATTCAAGAAAAAAATGACTGTGGTGTTTGATAACAGATACTGTATATTCAGTGGAGTAAAACAATGGATGAGAGAACTGTTTCAAAAATGGACAATATAGGTCTTTAGCTAAATCAAACGACTTTCTAAAAACTATGCTTCTTTTCTGTGGTAAGACTGCATTCTTGCAATGTGTAATGTAACTAGAAACCAAAAAATGATTTCTAACTAAACATTAAAGATCATATACTTCAGACATTAGCACTCTTAGTCATTGTATCATCTTATTGATCTGGCATGCTGGGGAAGGCGTATACTCAGTGGCGGAGAGAGTTTGAAATCTTTGCATTGTATATACTGTATATGGCATTCCAGTTGTAACCCTTGTGATACAATGTCATGTTTGATAACAACTTCTTGACATGTTGGACAGTTGCCATAGTCTTTCCCAACATGGCATTTTCCAGATGTTTTGATTCCCAATAGCAATATTGGTTGAGAATTCTGGTAAAATTAGCATTTCATCTGGAAGATACCAGATTATGGACAGTGCTATAATAAAGTACCGTATGTGGACCAAAATTTTGATTATGCATAAGTTAAATTTATCCATCGATGGAACCTATTATTAGCAGAGTTGTTAGATGCCACAAGCATTTTCTCTGTTAACCACAAATTACCCCAGGTACCTAATCACATTGACTTAATTATTTTCCAAGTCCGACATATGACATCAGTAAGATAAAAGACTAACCAAAACTTTAGCTGCATTTACACAAGGGAGGATACACAGATTAATGCACCCTGTCAAAATGGCATATTATCATCTCTGATTCATTACGACTATGCGGTTTTTGTTTCATGTGAGAAATGCTTATGTATAGATCAAAAACAAGCACAGCATTCTGATCATAGCAAGTTTCCCACTTCTTGTGAATGGTGCTAATTATGACTGAGCAAAAACATTGTCCATTGTAGATAAGAATATTGGGTAGAGATCCAGGATCCTCTCACCAAGAAAGTCCCCAAAAGAAAATGGGGGAAAGGAGTTAACAAATGAATAAAACTTTTTACAGAAATGTTACAGGTGGAGATCCCAAAGAAGTCCGTTGAAAAGAAGGTTAAGGGTAAAACAACAGCTTCATGCTACAGTAGAGAGATACACACCAAAATGGTTGCTGTGATTTTATGATCAAAACTCTACATCTTTTTGTGTTGTTACAGTTGCCGCGCTTTGATCATGGAGTTTTCTTTCTTTGTTTGTTTGAATTTGTAAGCTACCCATTTCCAATGGATTTGGGATACCCTCTTGATTTTTTTACTCCCCTTGAAGTCCTTTCCAATCTGTGGGTTTTTTTTCAAAGCATGGCTCCATGGTTGCCAGCTAATAACAGAAGAAGAAATGAGGTGGGAGAGAGAACAGAAAGAAGGAAGGGAACAAGACCATGTCCATTAATTTATTTAAACAAATAACTCCCTCCTACGATCAGTATGCCAGAGGGAGGGAGGGAGGGAGGGAGGGACTAGGGAAGGAAGGAAGGAAGGAAGGAAGGAAGGAAGGAAGGAAGGAAGGAAGGAAGGAAGGGCAATTCATTTCTAAATGGAAGTTTAAAAGAGTATTTTTACCGGTCTCTCCTAACCCTAACAACATACCCTATGCTACTCTGCCAAACTGCAAGATTTATTTTTAAATATATTAAGTAGTTGGATAAATAGATTTTGTTGTGCAGGGTTATAGACTGAAATCTATTCTAATATAAAGAAGTTCCATTTTGCTCATTAAAATCTATAGTTTATGGATTTATTCTCAAATATGTATACGGCTGTCCTACAGCATTTATCTATCTGTATTATAGAGAGGGAAGTAAAATTGCTACTGTCTTTAACTTTATTAAATTTATTTTATCTGAAATTATCTTAAGACAATATCTAAGTTGAACAGAGGGGATAAAGAGGGAAATCAACTAATGCTTAAAAAGTAGGCAATATATGGGTATTTGTTTTATCAGCTAAGTATTTGAAAACGGCTGTATGTTATGCATTCTTGAATAGATGCTTGAGATTTCCTTGCATGAGTGCATCCAAGTGAATACAGTTTTCCCTTGTTTCATTATCCATGAATAAAAGCTTGAAAATGGGGAGCCATGTGAATTTCCCCTTAATTTTACATGGAGCTACTAGCATTCTCCAGTTCACTTACAATAGAAATTGTTGCACAGTCCAGAAAGCACAAAAGAATATAGAAATTGTCTTACCTGTTCAAGTACTCCTCTTATAAAGTATCTTGGTTCCAAAAGGGATTAACCAGATACTTCCAATATGCCCACAAACAGCGCAGGGAGTGAAAAGTACCTTTATTGCATTTTCAACAACTTGTATTTTCCGTCATACAGTACTGCTTCTAAACTCAAAAGTTCCACTGAAGTTGAATAACTGTTGTTAAATCATCCACCATTGCTTTAACCTTAAAATAGGAACTTAGAGCCTTTCCTATGTTCCAGGCTGCACTTCTCTCGATTAGCTAAAATGGCTGATAGCAATAGGAATTGTAGTTAAAAGTATCTAGATGATATTGTAATGTTTGCATATGGTCCAAGAGTTTTTTGTTTTTTTTTAATTTGATTTATATGCCGCCCTTCTCCGGAGACTCGGGGCGGCTTACAATGTGCTAAGCAATAGCCTTCATCCTTTTGTATATTTATACAAAATCAGCTTATTGCCCCCACAATCTGAGTCCTCAATTTACCTACCTTAGAAAGGATGGAAGGCTGAGTCAACCTTGAGCCTGGAGAGATTTGAACCTGCAGTAATTGCAGGCAGCTGGTCTTAATAACAGGGTGCTTTAGACCACTGTACTACCAAGGCTCTTTTTTATTATTAACTTCAATAATAAGTTATTGATATTATTAACTTTAATATTAAGTATTAAGTTATTAATATTAATATTAATATTAAGTTATTAACTTCTCTGAGCTTACTTTCTGGTTTGGAGCCTTCTTAGGGGGGAAGGGAGGGAATTTCTAAATTATTCAGAGCAATAAACAATAGTATATCAACAAGACATGAGCACCATAAGCAAAAGAAAAGAAAAAAACCCCCTAAGATCAAAAGATCACATCCTCTCATAAAGCTTAGGTAAATTCCCCAGAAATCAGGGGTTTATGTTTCTTTGTTTTATTTAGAAGTGCTTTTAATCTCCTAAGGGTATATTAAATGCCTAAATTCATTCATTGCATTAGATCATAACCTTTTGGTGTCGTTCATAAAAATCATTAAGCTAAAAACCATGATTAACATGCCATAAAAGTGAGATTCACAGATCACCATCATCTAAAAGCAAATATGTTTTTGTATGTTTTCACACCTGAGGGTAAAGCCATTCTTGACCCCCACATGTATGACCATTTAGATTTAATAGATACTGGATTCAAATATTTCCACTCCCATAGAGCCAGTGATGGAACAGGTATACCACTATTTGTTCAACTTCCTAAACATGCAAATAAATCTCAGTTTAAGGCAATTGGAAATAATGATTGCACATTATATCATCTGCTTTTAGCATTTATTGGTTGTTTTATCTTGAAGTAGACAGTTAATGGATCAATGCACAATTAAACTAAAAAAAAAAACCTAATAATTTAGTTTCATCTAGATGTGCAGCAGGGGAATCAAAATCAGTGTCAAATTGGAAAAAATGTTTCCCCCAGTTTTTAAACTTCAGTGTAGAGTTTTTAAAAACTGCATGGATGAATCATTCAACCAGATTTCATGCAGAAGGTATCTCAGATGTTATATTATTTTGACCATAGTTTTCATAAACAGAAAAATTCAGTAAACAATGCTGAAATACTTATATTCTACATAGATCTCAGTGTTACATGCTATTCCAGCATGTGAAATATAGTTGAATTACTCTAATATATTTTACATGTAGGTAATCATAATGAACACGTGCAAAATACAGCCATAGAATATGTATGTGACCATATATATACATATTCTATGGGTATATATGCTCAATGTATATATATATATATTTGTTTGTTTGTTTATTTATTTATTTATTGGTTCGATTTATATGCCGCCCTTCTCCGGAGACTCAGGGTGGCTTACAGTGCGTTAAGCAATAGCCTTCATACGTTTGTATATATCTGCTTAGTAGGGCTTTTGCCCCCTCCCCCAAGTGGTGTTCTTTTTTATACAAAGTCAGCTTATTGCCCCCACAATCCGGGTCCTCATTTTACCTACCTCGAAAGGATGGAAGGCTGAGTCAACCTTGAGCCTGGTGAGATTTGAACTTGCAGTAATTGCAGGCAGCTGGTGCTACTTAATAGCACTTTAGTCTGCTGTGCCACCAAGGCTCCTTAAGGATAAAGTTTGAATCCATCTTTCTTGGAAGGCTACATAAATGTTTCCCACTCGATCCGCTAATACTAGAACTGTTTCTGAGAAATAGTAATGGATCTACAGTATGATTATTCTCTTGAATTTCATGCCATTTTTGCATCTGTAAACTTGAATCACTAGTTCCAACAAACTAACTACTAGTAGACCCTGGTTCCACCTTGCATTGTTCAACAAATACGTCTGTAATTTGGAACATAGTGCAGCTCAGTTTTTAACTACAGCTAAATCAACAGGTTATTTACCCTTTTGTTTTAGTTTCATTTAAGTGGAAAGTCTGCTTAGGATGATTAGTAAATTGTTGTTATTGTTGTCATATGTCTTCCCATTCATCTGTCAAGGGGTGACAAATGATTGCCTTGTTTTGCAGGTGGTATTGTGAAGGGAAAGAGCTTGAAAATTCACCATATATTCAGATCATCCAATCTGGAGAGTTGCATTCACTAATTATTGTTGAAGCTTTTGAGGAAGACACTGGGCGCTATTCCTGCTTTGCATCCAACATCTATGGGACAGACTCAACATCTGCAGAGATTTATGTAGAAGGTAATAGTAGAAGCTTGAAACTGAACTAGGGAAAGCAGCGTATAGAACCACGATGGCGAACCTATGGCACGGGTGCCACAGGTGGCACGCGGAGCCATATCTGTGGGCACGTGAGAATTGCCCTACTCAGCTCCAGTGCACATACACACGCCGGCCAGCTAATTTTCAGGCCTTCCCGGCCCACATGAAGTTGAGAAATGGGCTGTTTCCAGCCTCCGGAGGGCCTCCAGGGGGGAGGGAAGGCCGTTTTTGCCCTCCCCAGGCTCCAAGAAAGCCTCTGGAGCCTGGGGAGGGCAAAAAAATGGGCCTACCGGGCCCACCAGGCCATCATGTGCCAAAAGTGGGGGTAGCGCGGGGGAGTGTCACACACGCATGCATGGGGGGTGGGGCACATTGAATTATGGGTATGGGCACACACGTGCGTGACCCCCCCGCATGATCCCTGTTTTTGGCACGCGATGGCAAAAAGGTTAGCCATCACTGGTATAGAACTTGTGTTATATATATTTTTGCTGCTTTCTTAATTCAAATGAAGTCCTGAGATATGAAAACAGGTTTTCCAAGATTTAAAAAGTAATGCTTACTCTTATTTATAATGCGCATGAAACCACTAATTTTAAAGGATAATGATAGTTGTCATCTGCTCTTGAAGAAATCAAAATGTCTTCCTACTGTCTCTCCAATTGCCAATGGCCATATCTCAGTATACAAATGAAGCAACAACTGTATTTTTATTTATTTATTTATTTATTATTTACATTTTTATACCGCCCTTCTCCCGAGGGACTCAGGGCGGTGTACAGCCATACTAAAACATGTATATCTATAAAATTTAAAAAACAATTTAAAACAGATTAAATGATTTGGCCCTATATTAAAAACTAAAACACCCATTAAAATCCAGCCCAGCCTGTTGAAACAGTAGAGTCTTAAGGGCACGGCGAAAGGTACGTAGGTATTACAGACCTCAACAGATCTGAAACTGGTCCTTCGATCCTTAAGATCTTTCTGTCAGGGGCTGTAATAAGACTAATATTATGAATTTTGCAACAACAACAAAAAAGAATCAGAATTCAGACTTGGCTTATTAATGGGCAGAATTTGAATGAGGTAACATGTTTCAGTATCTGGGGACTATATGCATATGTATATATACATACTGTCAGCCAGCTTTGCAGAGTTCTTTGCAGTGTTTTGGGTGGAATTTGGAAGAAATTAAAACTAGTAGCCATTACTTGTGTGATACAACAATCTCTTTATGGAATTGTGCTTTTCATTCATGCCAGAAGCAAACATAAATATTCTATAGGTGTATGTGTATACACACACACAAACATACATATTTATCTGTAAAGCATATACCTATTACCTAATTTACCTAATTAATCATGGAATATCCAGTTTTGAGGATATTGCCTGATCTTTTTTACGCTCTGTTTTAAGCAACAAACTTCATATCCGAATCTGTTCCCAAATAGTTTTAAAATATTACCCTTAGGAGTCTGAATATCAGGGAAGATTTGATGTCTTTGCATTATGATATATTCATAAAATTATATAATTTATGTAAGTTGCAACATAATCGGTGCATTTGTATGATGACAACACGATGAACATGATGTTATGTGGCTTCTACTTAACAACTACACCGAGGAGTGAAATTTTCTATTACAACTGATGGTTAGTTTTAATCCATTTCCCGGTAGATTTTCCCAGCAGTGACTGAAAAAAGTAGTTATATTTTTCAGTGGAATGAAAAGTGTAAGGGTGCCAATTGTCATCCATCCAAAAATACTATAGCAAAACCAGCATCACAGGGCTTTGTATATCCTTATAAGAAATCTGTCTCCCAAAGGGGACACAATTCTTATAGGGACATAATTGCTAAGGAAAGATTCCAAAGATATTAGGATCCAGTCCCATAAATCAAATTTGTTGCACTAAATCATTGTGATATCAACAACAAACATCAAACAGGCAGTCTACATTGCACTCAGATAAGTAAATTAATAAATATGGTGCCCCATGGAAGTAATCTTTGCTTTCCCACAGGGGCCTCGTCTTCAGAATCTGAAAGTGACAACAGCAAAGAAGAAATGGATCGGTAAGTATGGTGTGAATTTGGGTCACTCGTGGACACTTCTATTCTTGGATTAGATTTCCCAACTTGTTACATTTCTTTTAAAAACAATTGCAGGGAATTGGGGTGACCGGGAATTGAATCAGAAGAGTGGGAATAAACTTCTCTCCCATCTCATTTTCCCAATCTATGTCATCTGTTTCAAAATGCTAGTTACATGAATCGGTATGTGTTATTGATCAGCCAAAAAGCAACTAGCGGATCAATTTTATTTGGAAAATGATGCAGCAGGTTCTTTGGAAATCTCTCTGATGACTTAATATATGTTTTTATGTAGGTATTACAGAAAACAATACCAAAGAGATTAGCCATTGTCTTCTTCTGAGATCTCTTTTTAACTTTCCCACCTAATCAGAAGCCCTGTAATTTACTGCTTAGCTTCCAAATAGATAAAAGTTGACTAGATGTCATCACCAGTGAAACAACAAAATCAAAGCCTGTATAGTAACAATTCCCATCTCCCTCACCTCCCTTTGAAACTAACTTGGAAAACTAAGGCTATAGAGTTGTTCAGAGGTAGATGGTATACAAGTTTAATAGATGCTGCTGCTGTTGATGATGATGATGATGATGATTAACAGAAAATTCTGTACCCAAGGCTCTGTCTTAGGCCCAGTATACTTCAATATCTTTATCAATGATTTAGAGAAGGAGATAGAAGGGGAACTCATCAAATTTGCAGATGATACCAAGCTGGCAGGAATAGCCAATACTCTAGAACAGTGATGGCTAACCTTTTCCAGACCGAGTGCCCAAAGCGCATGCACGTGTGCGTGCCCGAACCCCCCAAATGCAATGTGTGTGTGGCCCTGTGCATGCGCTCCACCCCCATGCATGTGCACACTACCCACACACACCCCACCCTCTGCGTATGCACACGGCCCCCCACATGCCCCACCCCCATGTGTACATGTCCCCCACGCACACGACCCACCCCACGCACACGACCTGCCCCCTGCACTTGCGCAGCAGAGACCCGAAGACCACCTGGCTGGCGGGAGGCTTGCGCGCATGCGTGATGGAGCTGAACTGGGAGAGGCGGCTGGCATGTCCACAGAGAGGGTGCTGCGTGCCACCTCTGGCATCCGTGCCATAGGTTCGCCATCATGGCTCTAGAAGATACTCAAGATACAGAAGGATCTTGACAGACTTGAACATTGAGCCCTGTCTAACAAAATGAAATTCAATGTGGAGAAAAGTAAGGTTTTACATGTAGCCAAGAAAAACCAAATGCACAGGTATAGCATAGGTGGTACCTGCCTCAACAGTAGTAACTGCAAGAGAATCTTGGAGTTCTAGTGGTCAACCACTTAAATATGAGCCAGCAATGTGCTGCAGCTGCCAAAAAGGCCAATGCAATCCTAGGCTACATTAATAGAGTGATAGAGTCAAGATCATGTGAAATGTTAATACCATTTTATAATGCCTTGGTAAGACCACACTTGGAATATTGCATCCAGTTTTGGTTGCCACGATATAGAGACTCTAGAAAGAGTGCAGAGAAGAGCAACAAAGATGGTTAGGGAGGTGAGGATAAACATACAAAGAATGGTTGCAGGAATTGAGTAAGTCTAGTCCAGTGACGGCTAACCTTTTTGCTGTCGCGTGCCAAAAATGGGGGGAGCGCGGGGGGGTTGCGGGCGGGCGTGCCCACACCCATAATTCAATGCACCCCGCACATGCGTGTGTGACCCCTCCGCTCCCTCAGCTTTTGGCAAGTGATGGAACAGTGGGCCCGTTTTTCATGCTCCCCAGGCTCCAGAGGCTTTCTAGGAGCCTGGGGAGGGCAAAAACTGCCTTCCCGACCCCACTGGGAGGTCCTCCGGAGGCTGGAAATAGCCCGTTTCCTGACATTCAGTGGGCCCGAACGGGCTGAAAATCAGGTGGCCGGCGCACGTATGCGTGTTGGAGCTCAGCTAGGGCAACGCTTGTGTGCCCACAGATAAGGCTCCATGTGCCACCTGTGGCACGCGTGCCATAGGTTCGCCATCACGGGTCTAGTCTAACGAAGTGAACGACTGGGGTGATATGATAGCAGTATTCCAATATTTAAAGTCACAAACGCTTTAGGATGCCACAAAGAAGAGGGGGGTCAATCTATTTTCCAAAGCACCTAAAGGCAGGAGAAGAAGCAATGGATGGAAACTAATCAAGGAGAGAAGCAACCTAGAACTAAGGAGAAATTTCCTGACAATGAGAACAATTAATCAGTGGAATGACTTGCAGGTGCTCCAATACTGGAGGTTTTTAAGAAGAGATTGGGCAACCAGAAGGTTGGACTAGAAGACCTCCAAGGTCCCTTCAAACTTTGTTATTTTGTTATTTATACAAACTGCAAACTATAATTTCACAGGAAATTCAGTTCAGACTGGTATGTAATTGATATTTGTCTTGAATAGACTCCAATTATGACTTCTCCAATTGCGGTAACTTGAAAATATAAGCAATCATTACATTATTATTTTCAGGTTTATGGAGACGAGGTTTTCCTGGCCCTTCTGTCCAACATTTGAAACAGTTTTTTTTTTTTTTCATTCCAGCAAATTCATAAGATACAAGCCTTCAAAAGGCCGGCCAAGTAGAAATGTGTCTTTCTCAAACTTCACTGAAGTCACAAGAAGAAACTGAGGTCTCTTGCTTTCCACTAAAGGGAATGTTAATAGACTACTTTTGAGAACTTTTGTTCTCAAACTTTTGTTCTCAAAAGGAAAGGATTAGAAAGGATTAGGTCTCAATTAACTAGAGTTTCCCTTTCTTGCTGCTAAAGATCCACCTGTCACTAGATAAACTTCAATATTCTTCATATAACGAAAACGAATATTATGTTTGCCAAAAATGTGACAAGTCTTGCCAATGAGAAAATCTGATCTCTGCAGCTGTCTGTTCAGTCACTGCTATGCGATATTTCCCCATTCCTATTTCCAGACTGTAAGAATGACTTAGCCAGTGAAGATCCATTCTCATCTCTTGAGCTCCCTCTTTTAATGGGTCTCCTTTTTAATTCTCAATACCTGAACATAGCCATCTCTAAAGGTAAAGGTAAAGGTTCCCCTCGCACATATGTGCTAATCGTTCCCGACTCTAAGGGGTGGTGCTCATCTCCGTTTCAAAGCCAAACAGCCAGCGCTGTCTGAAGATGCCTCCATGGTCATGTGGCCAACATTATTAAACACCAAAGGCGCATGGAACGCTGTTATCTTCCCACCAAAGGTGGTCCCTATTTTTCTACTTGCATTTTTTACGTGCTTTCGAACTCCTAGGTCGGCAGAAGCTGGGACAAGTCACGGGAGCTCACCCCGTTAAGCGGCACTAGGGATTCAAACCACTGAACTCCCGACCTTTCGATCGACAAGCTCAGTGTCTTAACCACTGAGCCACCACGTCCCTTTAGCCATCTCTATATTCACATATATTCTGATCATTGCAAAGAACCACTCATGCAGATTAACAATAATGGAAAATATGGAGGACTTTTATTAGTTTGTGGACCACTAGGAGGCCTAGCACTAGCACCTGCTAGTAATTTCTGAGCATTTGAAGCAACACTCAAAATCTTTGGTCTTTCTAAAATTATTGACGTTCTAGTGTTTAGATTAGTACATTGAGGGGAGTTCCTTAAAATCCCTGGGCCGGACTGGGAAGTTGAGGAAAAAATCCCAGGAAACAGCAACAGCAAACCATTGCCATAATGCTTCTGAGGAGACCTGAATGTCATGACTGGAGCTGAATCCAGTTCAAGGGCATCTTTACATTTAACTCCCTCAGGAGCAGATGGAATATCCCATTTTTTACCTCTGAACTAGAGGAAAAATTGTTCACCATTCCTGTTTCCCACACAGAGCAAGGAATTAAACCACAGAACGTCCTTAGAATATTTAGTAAAGACAAAAGGGAGGAGACACACTTTGGGACAAGGATGCTTTGAGAAGCTTTAAAGTTTGTATGACAGAACTTCCCAATCAATCAAGGTAGTTTTTTAAATCACTCAAAATCAATGGATAAAGGTAGTTTCGGCCTTCACAAATTCATTGTTGTTTTCTTTTTTTGTCAATTAGCCTTTTTAAAATTTTTCCCAGGTACCAAAACCAGACTAAGACCTCACCCGCTGCACCTCCTCCTGCTCCCCTTCCTCCTGCTCCTCTTCTTGCTAATTCTTCTGCAACCCATCAAGAAGCCATTCAACCACAACCTTTGATGAAACATCCTGTCTCAGTTCCTGTGTATCAGGTAAAAAAAAATTATTATGATGCTTCCTCCAAGGGGACAAATTGCTGCTAGCTTTGTATAGTTGTGGTGCTGTCATCCAGTCTGCTCCAAGGTGCTATTTTCTGAATGACATTCAGTCATTTGAGAATGGATTGCAAGATTCAGAATTCCAAACCAGCACATTCCATTGATGGTTTTGACCAAGAATTCTGGGATGGGCAGTCACTGGTACTTGGGGAGTATCCCATGGAGGAAACCAATTGTAGGTTAACATACATAAAAGACACCATGTTACAGAAGCAGCTGTTCTATAGACTGGGATTAATTTGCATTTTATCCTTAATCTTTGGTTTTCAGTTGAAGCAGTAACACAATTTAATTTTCATCCTGGTATGAAAAATGGGAGAATGTAAATCAAAATAAAGTAACCAGACCAAAATAAATTATTTGGGGGAATAAGAATATAATTTATTATGAAAAGAAAGCTGGTTATTACAAATACAATTCTACTTTATTCAGAAGGGTTAGAGAAGCAATTCTAGACCCTTTGCATTTTTATCTTACTAAAAAACTACGAACTCACAGCTGATGCAGCTTTATGTCGCCCTTAACTGTTCCAGTTATGAAGTAGCATTCTATCTCTTCTCCAATTGAGTCTTTGCTATATGGTCAGTACATTTCACTGACATCCTTCTGGGAGCTTTTAATGACCAAGATTTTCTAAACCAGGGGTGTCAAACTCTAGGTCCTAGGGCTGGATCCGGCCCGCAGGATGCTTAGATCTGGCCTGAGGGGCCACCCTGGAAACAGCAAAGGACTGGCCCACAGTGCCTCTGCCAGAGAAAATGGAGCTCGGGGGGGCATGTGCTCTGTTTTCACTGGCAGAGGACTGCAGGAGGCCATCACGGCCAAAAATGGAGCCCGGGGGGGGGGGGCATGCATTCTCCTCCTGAGCTCCGTTTTGCTGGCAGAGGGCTAGCAAAACAAACTACTAGCAAAAGTGGCATTTGATCACAAGGCAAAGAAGCATTGAGAAATTCTTCCTCTGGAGACAATGGATCACCCGAGCCCTGCCCAGGCCACCACAGATGCCCCCAACACAAATGACGTCAAGCTGGCCATGCCCACCCACCGACCCTGCCTCCCCCTCCCCGAGGTCAAACACAACCCTAATGCATCCCTCAATGAAATCGAGTTTGACACTCCTGTTCTAAAGGATCTTTGGAGAATGAACATGTTTTTTTTAATTAAAAGCTGCTATGAGTTCTGTTATTGCTTTGGGTTTTAATGTTTCTTTATTCTGTGAATGTCCTCACTTATTTTAGTATATTGTAAATAACCTGAGTCATGGACATTGAGCACCGTGCAATGATGACAAGGAGTCTTTTCATGTATTAGTGCTGCTTTGACAATTTAGTTCTCTCTCTTCACTGCCCATATTTTAGAATTCTTGAAATGGTTTACATTTGAAAACTTATTTTAAAAAATAATAATAGCAGTAACAGTATTTTAAAACTATTTTAGGGAACAGTGTTCCAGATTAGGATTGTTTTAATAAAGAAAGAATGGGATGGAAATAACAATATAAAACAAATATTTTTGTGAATAATAAATGGTTCACACTTCAGCTTTTTTAAAGGTGGCCAAGGGTTTGAGCCAGATGTTGTCAATGTTTATCTAAGGAGAGCCAGTTTGGTTAAGGCACCAGAATAGAAACAGGAGGCTATGAGTTCAAGTCCCTCCTTAGCCATGAAAGCTAGCTGGGTGACTTTGGCTAATCACTCTCTCTTAGCCCAACCTACCTCATGAGGTTGTTGTGGGGAAAATAGGAAGAGGAATGTGTGTTGGATCTGTTCATTGCCTTGAGTTATTTGTAAAAATAATAAAAGCAGCAAACAAACAAATGAACAAACAAATTCATGTTTCCTTCTAACATGTTTGCACATTATAATGGGTTAGGGTCTATATCTGCTAAATTTTAATCTCATGCTTACAGATGTTCTCTTTCAAAGTCTACACAGTTTTAAAAATATTTTTTTCCTATAGTTCTCTCCATTCACCAGCTTTTGAAGAAGCAAAAATGCTACACCTATATTATATGCCTTAACATTTGTTTCTTTGTTTCACTACTAGAATCAGAGCCCTACTAATTATTTACAAGGACTGGACGGAAGACCCCTAATAGCAGCTCCTGTGTTCACCAAGGTGATATGCTTGAATGAGCTCTTCTCATAATGAGAAACAAGTACTATATATGTGATGAATCCAATCCTCAGGCAATCATTATCCAATCCTAAAATACCTTCCAAAGTTCAGCGATTACAACATCAGCATGAGTGTCCTAAAATTGCTTCTTTTACATCAGTACATTTTAAGCACACCTATCTGAAAATATTAGATACTTTTGCTGTACAAATTAAGGAAGTTCTCCAGATGACAATCTCCAATCTTTTAATAGCAACATTAGTGAAGATAAAATTGATAGTAGATTCCAATTCAATTAGAAAGCACCAGATTAGGAAAAGATGTTGTAGCATATATTGTACTTTAAAACTTCTGTCCTGCTACTTTCCATTGACAGCTTTAACAGGTAAGTAACACACTGCCAATCTGGGTTACTATAGAAAGATAGGCAGGGATTCCTCTGGTCAGTACTTGGGTGGGACTATGTTTGAAATCTTGGGCTGTAAATTAAAGTAGGAAAGTGAGCAATGGGTCCCTATTCCTGCCAAAACCAATGGCAAATCATGACAAGAAAATTGCATAGATGTATCCATTCAGTGACCAGAACCAAGTTCACCCAAAGCTGACTTCCCTTTATTCACACCTGTGTAATAATTTTAAAAATCTTAAAATACCATAATGTCTGTTTTTGTTTTAGATGCTACAAAATATATCCGCCTCTGAGGGTCAGCTGGTCGTGTTTGAATGTCGGGTAAAAGGAGCTCCTTCTCCAAAAGTGGAGTGGTACAGAGAAGGCACATTGATAGAAGATTCTCCAGACTTTAGAATATTACAGAAAAGTACGCTTTTTAGTTTTTATGGACTACAGGTAGTCCTACAGGTAGTCCTCAAGTCCTCACAATTGAGCCCAAAATTTCTGTTGTTAAGTGAGACATTTGTTAAGTGAATCTTGCCCCATTTTACAACCTTTCTGGCCTCAGTTGTTAAGTGAAACATTTCAGTTGTTAAACTAGTAACATGGTCATTAAGTGAATCTGGCTTCCCCATTGACTTTGCTGGTCAGAAGGTCACAAAAGGTGATCGCATGACCTCGGGACACAGCAACGGTCATAAATATGAACCAGTTGCCAAGCATCTGAATTTTAATCACATGATCATGGGGATTTTATTTTATTTATTTTATTTTATAATAAATGGGATGCTGGAAAGGTCGTAACTGTGAAAAATGATCATGTCACTTTTTTCAGTGCTGTTGTAAATTTGAACAGTTGCTAAATGAACAGTTGTAAATCAAGGACTACCTGTACTGTAGCATTAAAGAGGGGTTTTTTTGCTGCATGTGACTGACAAGCAAATGTTTGTAAATAAATTCTGTGAAAACAGCATTTTTAAAGTACCATTATCTCATGCACTATAGAAATAGTTGTAATAATTGGGACTGCTATTGTTCTCAAAGCACATCAGACACACTCATGTTAATATTGACTCCATGTTACAGATCAAAGTGATAAAGCAGGGAGAAAAATGATTTGAAGGAGCCTCAAACCTTCATACCTGATTGTACCATATGAACAATACAATTGCTTGGATTGTATACAGAAACTGATACAACTGAGAGAATTTAGTTTTTGAAACTTAGTTCACTTTTCCAAAGCTATACACAGTCCAGCATAGACTTTCATGGACAATATTCTGTACAGAAGGAGCAAATAACTTTTTGGTGAATTGGTAATTTTCTGGATTGTTACCCTTTTGCCCACCTAGGATAAAACATTTAAACTCTGCCCCTAAATCTTGAAGCAAGTTCAGGTTTGGGTTTCACCAATAGAGAAAAAAAATGAAATTAAAATATTGTGGCTATAACTAACGTATGTATATTCTGGCATATCATAGTAAAGATAGTGAAACAGGAGCTCATAATTAACGATCAGCAATTAACAGCAGTGTATTGTAGAATATAGTGCCTTGTTGTGGAGAATACCACACTACAGTATACAACAAGGCATAATCCTAAACCACTACAAATTCATACAAGCCAATGTTATTAGTAATAACCAACTTCTTCAAAGACCAAAGCATTCTTATGGGGTGGATGGCTTGGAATCTAGGTTGTGAGGGAGGTCTTTGGACAGAGTGAGGAGGAATAGACTAGACTAGACTAGACTAGACTAGACTAGACTAGACTAGACTAGACTAGAATAGACTAGAATAGAATAGAATAGAATAGAATAGAATAGAATAGAATAGAATAGAATAGAATAGAATAGAATACAAATTCCTTGTGTGTCCAGTCACACTTGGCCAATAAAGAATTCTGTTTATTCTATTCTACTCTATTCTACTCTATTCTACTCTATTCTATTCTATTCTATTCTACTCTACTCTACTCTACTCTACTCTACTCTACTCTACTCTACTCTATTCTATCCATCTATCTGGATTTAAAGAAGCTTCAGCGATACAAATTACTCCCAAAAAATATAGTTTTTCGTGAAAAACTTTGAAAGAACACGATGTGTGTTAAAATAAATACAGAATTAAGTAATGTTGTATTTCTTTTTTATTAGAACCTCGCTCCATGGCTGAGCCAGGTAAGTATATTTATCCCAGTGCACCTGCTTACTAAATTACTTCACTCTTACAGAAGTGTTGCTGTGATTAAAAATAAGCAAGCAATGTTTTTTTTTAAAAAAATGTATTATTGTAGTTCCTGCTTCACACACACTGAGCTATCCTAGTCAATATGTCCCATACACATAAAGCAAAGAGATTATATTGTTCAAGGAGGCTATATTAGAAAAGCTGCGTGATTCTGTTCCAAACATATAAAAAGGGACAGGACTTCAGCCACACAGTTGCAGTGGTCACCTTGATTGCTTTGACGATACCTGCAGATATCCATGGACATGAGCATCTTCCATAACACGAGACTAAATTATTTATAAGTATATTGAAATCTGGAAGAAGTCTGCTTCTTAAGTTTGCCATTAGATATAGGAGACAAGGCCACTGCTCTTTTCTCTGACTTAAAATTCTTGACTACAACAAGTAAGTGTTATGAATTGTGAAATATTCCATTCAACTTCGTCTGAATACAAAATACAGAATAACAAGGTTGGAAGGGAACTTGGAGGTCTTCTAGTCCAATCCACAGTTACCCTGAGTCTATTCTGCCCAGAGTTACCCTGTGGTAAGATGGGTGGCCAATAAATGGGTTAAGATGGGTGATAAATAAATAAGCCTCCTGCCCAAGCAGGAGATCCTATATCACCTTTTTTTCCTCGGGTGCCAAAAGCCTGTGTGTGCGAAGGCATGCCAACACCCATAATGCAATGCCCCCTCCAGGCCCTGCCCCCTCATGTATGCATGCGTGACCCCCGTTTTTGTGCTAGCATGCCTCCCTGAAGCCACCTGGAACTAAAAATGGGGCACAGTGTGGCGCTGCACACACACCCTGCACATGTGTGCATGACCTCTGCACTGTCTGTCAAGTTTCCGAAAGATGCCCTAATTAATTCATGAGCCATGATCCAAACTTCAAAGGAAATATAGTCATTTATTAGGAGCACCATTCCAGCAATACTGGGATGCAGTCAGGACTGATCCTGCGTAGATTTACGTTCCCCTATGACCCTGTCTCTCCCCTCCTCTCTGGCCATGTCATAAATCACATTCTCCAATTAACCACTTTGGCTGGCTGTGAAACCTAACACCCTCCTTCTGATTGCAGTCAGAAAGAATGTATGGAATTCACTTCAGTTCTCCCTCCCTCCTATTCATGGCAACTTGAAAGCTTTGCAAGTTGACACTCGCAACTTCAGGATGCAAGTCATTCCACTGGTTAATTGTTCTCACCGTCAGAAAACGTCTCCTTAATTCTAGGTTAGATCTCCTTTTGATAAGTTTCCATTCATTTATTCTGGTCCTGGTTTGGAAAATATGTTCACACACACACACACATACACACACATGTACACACTGTGAAAAAAGCAAGAAGTGCCACAAATAACAACAGAATCATCTACATACCTACTCTGAAAAAGTCCCACTGATTTTAATAGGACTCATTTCCAGGTCACTCTAAATAAAATTCTAAGTCAAGAATATAGCATTATGCTTTCATTTGCTAATGAGGCCCACTTAATTAAAAGGAGCCTATTCTCTGTTAGGTCGGAATATCATTAGCACTGAAAGCTTGGAAAGATGACTAACACTGACCCTGAAGATATTCAAGGGATTGAATTATGCTTCCATTCTCCATCTTTACTAGATGGTCCTTATTTCAAAACTGGGACTTCTGCTCTTTTCCAGCCTTGATGTGAATGAAACAGGCCTTATCATGTCCCTTACTTTCTTGGAAGTCAAATGTACACCAGATGATGTTGGATTGTACTATATTTATCCAACTTGCCAGTGGAAGTGTATTGTCACACCTCAACCTGTGCCAATTTTTTTTTCTCTTAACCCTCAGTGCTCCACATTGCTCTCACTCGTGAAATATGAGAGAATCGCTTCAGGCATCCCAGCTCCGAAACTGGAGAAGGCCACGTCAGGCATTCTCGCTCCAAAGGGGAACCCTGACTGCGACTATTTTTTCAGTGACTTCAGGACCAAAACAGTGGATCTGAGTCAGTGATGGATGAAAGGGCACAAGAACCTCATCCAGGGACTGTGGAGTAGCGACACTGTGATTAAGGCACACTAAGTGTGTCCTATAAATGGCTTTGGAGGAACAAAAGCATATTTGTCTGTACCTTTCATGAGAGAGCTTTTTGTGGCCTGGCATGAACAGCCAGTTCCTCACAAGCTGATGGTCTGCCCACTTGCCAGAATGTTGAGGGGACTCATCCTTAGGGTTACAATTTCCCTTTCCTTCTAAAGTGCATGGGTTGCCCTTTCTCTGAGCAGTTGAGCAGATTTGGTTCTTGTGGAACTCAAAACCCTTAGTGGTGGTGGTGGAGTCTATAGGGCCATTATGGCGAACCTATGGCGTGGGTGCCATAGGTGGCATGCGGAGCCATATCTGTGGCCACACAAGCATTGCCCTAACTCAACTCCAGCGTGTGTGCGCGTGTGCGCGTGCCAGCCAGCTGATTTTTGGCCTTCTGGGCCCACCAGAAGTCAGGAAATGGGCTGTTTCTGGCCTCTGGAGGGCCTCCGGAGGGGTGGGGGAGGCCGTTTTCACCCTCTCCAGGCACCAAGAAAGCCTCTGGAGCCTGGGGAGGGTGAAAAACGGGCCTTCTGGGCTTACTGGAAGTCGTGAAATGGGCCATTTCCGACCTCTGGAGGGCCTCGGGGTGGTGGTGGGGGGCAGCAGTTTTCACCCTCTCCAGGCTCCAAGAATGCCTCTGGAACCTGGGAAGGGCAAAAAATGGGCCTACCGGGCCCACCAGCAACCTTTTTGCCGTTGTGTGCCAAAAGCAGGGGGAGCGTGGGTGGGATGTGGGGGGGGCATTGAGTTATGGGTATGGGCACGCATGCATGTGACCCCCCCGTGCTCCCCCGCTTTTGGCACACAACGGCAAAAAGGTTAGCCATCACTGCTATAGGGTGTGGTCAAAAAAGTCCAGATGATGGCCACAATGGTCCAAATAAAACTCTTCCCGTTTTTATGTGCGTCATCATCAGGGCCACCATCTGAATTGTTTGGCCTCACCCCATGAGTGCCCCTATTTAGCGAGACACAATGTAGTGGTCATCCTCTTTGGCAACTGTGTAAAACTTAGAGTGGTTCTTTTCTCTACAAAATTCTCACCAAGTTAGTCAAATCTACCAAAGGGATAGGGTTACAAAAATTCTAGCAACTAAATTACATTCAGTTTGGAGCCAATATCTCCCAATAAACAGGAGAACAACATAGGTAGGAGAATTTTTTTTTTATTTTACTTTGTTTCTCACAGCTTCTCTATGAACTGGAGAAAAGTTGTTAATGAAGAATATCCCCTGTTGATATGGTGATATCCAGAATCATAATCACTTGGGGAAATAACTCATACAATAATTTTAAATATTTCTACTTGTGGTCACTGCTTGATGATAACAAGGAAAATCCTTAATCTTTGTTCATACTTAAGAGTCACCCAGATATTGCTTTATTTAAACATATTTGTATTTCAGTGATTGCTTGACATCTATATGTCATCTGCAGATGCTATATACTAAATAAATAAAAAACCTAGGTATGTGCTCCTCGGAGCCGATAGCTTTCATAGTATCATACTAAGAAAGAGAGGCGAGATTTGTTGTGCAGGTCTTTAATCCCGCGTGTTTTTTTAACTTCAAATCCTAGTTTATCTTCGAATCAGTTAGAGAAGTTATTCAAGGGGAAAAAATTGGCAATTCTGCCAGTCTGTCAATCTTTTTCAAAACTGTATCCCAGTGAAAGATAGAAATCTCCTGTCTGTTTTCTCTATAATCACGAATGAGTTGCACTGAGCAGGAGTGACTGTCCCAAAGTCATCCAGCTGATTTCATGCCTAAAACAGGACTTGAATTCACAATTTCTGATTTCTAATCCAGCACTAAACTGCATCTTTTTGTCTCAGTTGCTAAATAACGTTAGCAGTTTTGGGTTCTATGCATTTTAGAGAATCATGCAATGTTTTGATGAGATCATGCTATGATATGGTCATTTCATACTTTATGAAAAAGCGCTAACTTTCTTACCATGGTTTCCAGAGGAGATCTGCACTTTGGTCATCGCTGAAGTCTTTTCAGAAGATTCGGGAAGTTTTACATGCACGGCGAGCAATAAATATGGGACCGTCTCCAGCTCAGCTCATCTAATTGTTAAAGGTAAGACTTTAATTTAAGCAACTTAATCAGAGAGACATTAGTTTTATTATGGTTTTTTTATTGTTGCATTGTTTTATTTTAATGGTTTTAAAAGCAGCCTTAGTCTATTATGGCACAGATCCTAGTTACCCGAGAGACAACCTTTCCTTGTTTTCACACATCCTGACATCCCGGGGTCATTTAAGGACCCATCTCTTCAGCAATGCTATCTGATGGACCCAGGAACAACAACATGGGCAGGTTTTCTTTCTCATATCATCTGGCCCCTGGAACAACATCCTCACAGATGTTCAACCATCCCCAATACCCTTTAAACAGGCCTTGAACACCTGGCTTTTCCATCAGATCCTGGGTTGGGATGCATCTCATCCTTATATATGGGATGCATAAGAGTGTCATGGCGCTCCCATGTAACACCTCTCCTGCGTGAGCTGCACTGGCTCCCGGTGGTCCTCCGGGTGCGATTCAAGGTGTTGGTGACCACCTTTAGAACGCTCCATGGCTTAGGGCCGGGATATTTACGGGACCACCTTCTGCCACCAAGAGCCTCCCACCGGCCAGTACGCTCCCACAGAGAGGGGTTCCTCCGGGTGCCGTCGGCCAAACAATGCCGACTGGCAGCCCCCAGGGGGAGAGCTTTCTCTGTGGGAGCACCTGCCCTCTGGAACGAGCTCCCCCCGGAGATACGGATGATTCCAGACTTACATACTTTCCGTCGGGCCCTCAAAACCTTTTTATTTCATCAAGTCAGACTGGCATAATCTCTCCAATTGTGTATTTTAATTTGGATTTTTAATGGGGGATTTTAACTGTCAGGCCAAATTGTTTAATTCATTTTTAAATTGTTTTTATATTTTGTATTCAATGTTTTTTACTTCTGGCTGTTCACCGCCCTGAGTCCTTCGGGAGAAGGGCGGTATATAAATTTAAATATTAAATTAAATTAAATTAAATTAAATCCTAGGCTCAGCTATTTTGGGTTAGTTTAAGGTATATATGTCTGTTCCCCCTGTTATGATTTTTAAAATGTATTATGGGTTTCTTTTTAAATTTGTGCAGTAGCCAGGATCACCGCTGATTTGGGCAGCTTCTGAAATATAAATAAATATTTAACATCCTTGTTTCATTGTTTTATTATATTTTTTATCATTTTAAATGTAGTTTAAAGGAAGGGAAGGAGGGAGGAAGTTTTAGATTTCAAAAGAACTTTAGTCAACCAGATATGACTTTCTGATTATTTATTTTTGTCATTTTGGTTCATTCTGATTAGAAGTTATTTAGTGGAACTTTTATTACAAATTACCAATTATAGTCCAACAAGAGTTAATTGATTGCAGTAGGCTAAAATAAAGGAAACAGACAGAGAAGAATATTTGTTTCAGTGAAAGTTCAGATTTTAGGCCAGGTGAAATTTACAATTTAGACTCTGTCTAAAAATAAAGACTACAAACTGACTCTTGAGTTCTCCCTTCACGCTAAGTCATTGTTTATCAAATCATGTTTACATGCTGTGCTAAACTACCAAATCATTTTTTAAAATAAATCAAAAAGTCTGGAACTTAAATAACCAAATCAACACCAAACACACCATCCTGTGACTTAGTGTGAATCAAATTACTAAGTCATTAGTATGTGTTGCCAATATCAAATCATCCCTGACATTCTGGGATATAGAAACAGGCCTCTCTCACTGCCTGCCTTCCCATTTGAGAAAAGGGTGATCATAACTCAGATTTCAGTAAACCTTTCCAGAACTGTGGAAACTGGTTTGCAGAAAGAGGTTTGTGCAAATAGGGAAGAAATTGCAGCAGTACGAAACAGCAGTACGAAACAAAAGAAAATAGGTCAACACTAAACCAATTGATTAAAACATTTGTCATTATCCATATTTCCATGGAGTTCCTTTGTCTTTTTTGTCTTTTGGAGAGAGAATAAGGATGCACCTATTTTTCTGTCAATTAGGATAAACAACTTTGATTTATGTTTCACTCTTTTTCCCAGATAGCGTCAACAGGATTAGGGAGCTACAGAGAGATTAACTAACTATAGATGCTCTCCGTCTATTGTTTCCAACAACGATGCCACTTTCTAAGGAGTCAGAGTATTTCAGTTCTCACTGATTATTCAATTTGTATCCATCTTCTGATCTAATTTATATATTTGGGTCACAGATGGCACTGGAGAGAGAAAAAACAAGTGGAGGGGAAAAATGTTCCCCAACCACAATCTGTCAAAACAGTCTCTCCATCAGCAGCAATTAGAGGTACCTGCTAAACTGTTTTCTCCAATTAAAAAATTGCCTCCTCCATTTGGAGAGGAAAAAAAAATGTATGTGAAAAATGCAAATAAACCATAGTTACTTTTAGAAAAAAACTTTTAGAAAATTGCATACAAATGCTTTAAATTTAGGAAAAGTTGCAATCAATCAATGGGTATGCATGATATAATGGATAATTTTTCAAAAAATATTTATTTATTTATTTATTTATTTATTTATTTATTTATTTATTTATTTATTTATTTATTTATTTATTTCAACTTGTATACCACCCTTCTCCCCTAGGGGACTCAGGGCAGTGAACAGCCAAACTTAAAATAATACAAAAGTTAAGAAAAAACTAAAAATAAATTAAATCATCAGCATTTCCAATTTAAAATCCCAGATCTGCAAAATCGAAAAGTTCCCAATTTAAAACCCAGAATCAATAAAATCGAAAGTTTAAAAAACCCCATTAAAACCATTTTAAGCTAGGCCAGCTTGCTGGAATAAGTAAGTCTTCAGGGCCTTTCGGAAAGCGCGGAGGTCCGGGATCAGTCGTATTCCAGGAGGTAGCTCATTCCACAGGTTGGGTGCCCCCACAGAGAAGGCTCTCCCCCTGGGGGCCGCCAGCTGACATTGGCTGACGGCACCCTGAGGAGGCCCTCTTTGTGCGAGCGTACTGGCCGGTTGGAGGTAGTTGGTGGCAGCAGGCGGTCTCGCAGGTATCCCAGCCCTATGCCATGGAGCGCTTTAAAGGTGAGAACCAACACCTATAAAACAGTCGAATAAAAATTGACAAGATCAATACGGGTTTCCTCTATATTGATCTAGGGGCAACAACACATGTTAAAAAAAAAAAAGATGGGACTTCAGTCACGCCATCACAGATGTCATCTTGACTTTTTTTCTCCTCTGTGGATTCCCTTGGATCAATTCAATATTCCTAATCTGTGCCCAAAATGTACATTTCTATCACCCAACAATATTTATTTTCTTCTATTGCTATTGATATATTTAAGCATGATAATCTAAGCATAATCAGGCAGTTCTTGGGGCCCCCAGGATAGCCCATGTTACATGCTGTTCTGCAAACTACACCGGCTGCCAATCTGCTTCTGAGTCCAATTCAAGGTGTTGGTTATCACCTTTAAAGCCCTTCAAGACATAGGTCCAGGCTATCTGAGAAACTGGCTCACCCCAATGGAATTAGACTGCCCCACCTGTGCTGGCAGAAGGGGCATGCTTGCAGACCCTTTCAGCCAAGGAATTTTGGCTGGGGAAGTCCAGAAGAGCCTTTCCTAGCGTGGATCAAAAGGCCTTGAAGACGTGACTGCCAACTAACCTGAGTCCCTAATGGGGATGTGGCATGTTGGAGGTGGCTAATGGAGTAGATAACACCCCACCTCCTCCGTATGTGCACTTTGCTCCTTCCTTCTCCAACCTGCTGTCAAGTTTCGAGGTCGTCTCAAATAAATTGCATTTCAAACAAAGTCTTTGAAGAAAAACTCCTATTTATTAAGCACGACATTTCTACACCCGACTCCATCGAAGCCAACACTGACTTCCAGACCCAAAACCCTCCCTTTCCGTTCCCCACTCCCCTGCATTCATTGGCCATCTTCCAAGTCATTCTACCCCTAATCTACTCCAGCTCAAAGGAATTTCCCCCCTCCCATCCCATCTCCTAGGGGATATTATCTCCAGGGAAAATAAGTAGGTGAAAAGTCAAACGTCCTTTTCCAGACGCCTCCGCTTCTCCTTCTTATGTCAGCACTAGAGTAAATGCTGCTTGAAGTGCTGACACCTGCTTAGTTTTATCTTAATTGAATTTTTTTAATTTAAGATCTTTATTTATTGTTTTAATGTTCTATACTGCATGTTATTCAATGTCTGTAAGCTGCCTAGAATCGCCTTTGGCAAGATGGGCAGCATACAATTTTGATAAATAAATAATAAATTCTGTTGTAGGGCCTGTGGACCAGACAAGTAATGCTGCTCTTCATACCATAAGTTCTCTCAATTTAGTGGCTTCTGAACACCAGCCTTCAGCGTCTACCCCTTCATTTTCATTGGTGGATAACCCTCCAAAACCTAAATTGGAAAGTGTTCTGGTAAATCACAATGAGCCCCGGTCAAGTTCCAAAATTGGCCTTCGTGTGCACTTTAAACTCCCTGAAGATGAGAAGGGAAGTGAAACATCATCAGAAGATGGAAGCGGACTTAAAAATCAAGCCAGACCAAACAGTTTTCCAAATAAAATCAATGGACAGGCTTTTAAGCTTCAGGAGCCCTCTTCACCCTCCAAAGAGCCACCACCTCTCCTGGCTAAACCTAAACTGTAAGTAAGAAAATACTGGTTGGAACATATTCAGTGCTGGAGAACACATCCCACTATAAGTTCAATTTATCTTTTCTTGCTTCATACAATTAATACAGCATTGGACACCTGGGGTGAGGAGGGGTAGATTATTGCTCTTTGTTTCCTAACTTCTTCAATATCTTTGTACATTTGAAGCCAATCAGAACACAGAGTAATAGAGAAGTTACTTGTGAATAAATACTTACGTGAAGTTTCTGAAAGATGCCCTAATTAATTCATGAGCCATGAGCCGAACTTCAAAAGAAATACAGTCATTTATTAGGAGCACCATTTCGGCAATATTCGGATGCAGTTAGAACTAATCCCACGTAGATTTATGTTCCCCTATGACCCTGTCTCTCCCCTCCTCTCTGGCCATGTCATAAATCACATTCTCCAATTAACCACTTTGGCTGGCTGTGAAATCCAACACCCTCCTTCTGATTGCGGTCAGGAAGAATGTATGGAATGCACTTCAGTTAGGGAAATCAATCAGCTCTATCAGTTCTCCCTCCCTCCTGCTCATGGCAACTTGAAAGCTTTGCAAGTTGACAACTTAAGCATCAAGCTTGCAGAAAGTGAAATATGTTGTCAATCTGGAAATATTATTTTGCTATAGAACAACGATGTCCAACCTTGGCAACTTTAAAACCCGTGGACTTCAACTCTCAGAATTTCTCAGAGTTGAAGCCCATGGGTCTTAAAGTTCTCAGGGTTGCACATCCCTGGTATAGAACAATATTAGGTCTCCAGATTCTTTGGTAATACCTGAAGAATAAAGGATATCTACAAAGGATGCTAGCTAGGATGCTTCTGGTGAAGTTTTCTTGTGACTGCCTCTAAGGGGTTTAATGAGATGGGTAAAGGGAAGACAAAAAAAATCAGTTGAGTGGTTGTGGCTGTGTGATCATCCTTTTATTGATGTGTCATTTGCAACACACATAAAGAAGGACAGGCTTTGATAACCTGTCCTTCTTTATGTGTGGGCCTGGTGGCTCAGCAGACTAAAAGCATTGTGATTAACACCAGCTGTCTGCAATTACTGTAAGTTTGAATCTCACCAGGCTCAAGGTTGACTCAGCCTTCCATCCTTTCTAAGGTAGGTAAAATGAGGACCCAGTTTGTGGGGGCAATAAGCTGACTTTGTATAAATATACAAAAGTATGAAGGCTATTGCTTAACGCATTGTAAGCCGCCCTGAGTCTCCAGAGAAGGGCGGCATATAAATCAAATTTTAAAACAAACAAACACAGTCATGGCTGCCAACTTGACTCTTTTGACACCTCCACCCCCAGTAGATGTCCCTGCTTATCTCACTCACAAAAAAATATTGTGAGATTCAGATTACGATGTTCCCTATGTTCTTCCATTGCCTTTCCCACATTTTTACATTCTTACTATTGAAATTCTATGAAGGGGCAGAAGAAAAGACAAAATAGGTATTCCGTGTCTTTTGATTAATAGACTTTCTGGCTGGAAAAAAAAATGAAAAGTATTTCATTAGAAGGAATTGATAAGATCCCTGTAGGTGGAAAAATAACCTGTTTGTAATAAATGGGATTTGGATTTTGGATCGTTTGCTGTGCCTTTTTCCAGTTCTTACTTGCTCTAAAAAAGGCTTTGAAATGCAAGGCAAAATGTATAATTTTGATCTGGTTTAAAAAGTAGAGCCTAAAGCCTGTTCAAGCACCCTGTAATATAAATTGCATCTATTTTTATTTTTTGGATACAGGGATGCCACCCAGTTAAAACAACTACACAATCAGGTGTTGTTTGAGCAACAGCAAATCCATCAACCATCTCACCCAGTTCCACCAGAGTCATTATTCAATACTGGCCCAGGAAAATCTGCTACTTTGCCCATTCAGCATCAGCACCAGAAGCAACCTGCATCAGCTACACACAAGCAGAACAAGGTTCCTTCTACACAGACGTTCACATATACCCGACCTAAACAGTTCCTGGCATCTCAAAACACCTCAGCAGCTAGTAGCCCTTCTAGCTCCTCTGTGTCTTCTTTCAGCAACGTACCTCAAGGAACCCAGAAAACAACGAAGAAGGAAAACCTCTTAGTATCTCCTCCACCCGCCCAATCGAGATCTCCAGGAAGGTTGACAAACCAAATGGAGCAGCTTCTTCCAAGTCCCAGAGAACATGTGTTGCCACCACTTCTGCTCTCTGTGTCTAACATGAATCAGTTCCAGCCCCAAAATGTGCTTCCTACACCTCTGTCTCCTACTGGTCGGATTCAGAATCCCGTAGCTTTCCTGAGTGCTGTTCTACCTGCGCTTCCTTCTACACCCCCAACAAATGCCATGGGTCTGCCTAAATGTGCACCTGCTATGTAAGTAATGCAAACTTTGAATGATCAGTCAGTAAAAATATGCTGATCTGGCTATCTGTTCACTCAGCAAGTTAAAGCAGCCCTCCTCTCCTCCTCCTTCTCTGTCTTCTCCTTCTCCCTTCCATTCTTCTCTCAGATTACTGTTTTACTTATTTTTCTTTTTTTTTAATTGAAAAGTTTTACCCCAAAAAAATACAAAAATTTTCTTCCCCCCATGTTCCCCCCACCCTTTCCCCCCCTCACCCCATCCCCCCCCCCCCAGACTTCCCAGAGCAAAATACAAGGTATTTCATTTAATCAATCATAAAATAGATTAATCTACTTATCGTCAAAGTACTAACTCCCCCCATGAAACCTTAACTCCACTATAGATAACCTAATACTTCTAATACTAACATTCATTCATAAGATATTTGATATTTTCTTGTCTGATACTTATTTTGAATATAATCAATCCATCTTCTCCATTCCGATACGTATCTTTCTTGCATGTGATCCTTCAAGTACGCTGAGATTTTCGCCATTTCCGCTAGGTTTGTTACTTTCAATATCCACTCTTCAATAGTAGACAAAGAGTCCTTCTTCCAATATTGAGCTACCAACAGCCTAGCTGCTGATATTAAGTTCAAAATCAATTTAGTCTCTGATACTGTGCAGTCTGTAATTATACCCAATAGAAACAATTGAGGAGTAAATTTCAACCTTCTTTTCAGAATGTTCTGCATCCCCCACCAAATTTTATTTTTCTTAATATCTTAGGATCATCTTTGTTCCCTGAAATTGGTTTGACAAGACAGGATATTATATTTTAAAATGTGTAGTTGCAATAGTGTGATTTCATTATTTATAATTAAAGTCATAGGAGTTCTAGTCCCACAATATTTAGAGCAGGGGTCTCCAACCTTGGCAACTTTAAGACTGGTGGACTTCAACTCCCAGAGCAAAGCTGGCCGAGGAATTCCGGGAGTTGAAGTCCACAAGTCTTAAAGTTGCCAAGATTGGAGACCCCTGATTTAGAGGGTTTAGTCTAATTTAATATATTGAAAGATGGCTTTTAAAAACTGGTCGCCATGATACGAAAAAGATGCTGAGACTTCAGAAAGTGTGTATAGAAGAGAAACAAAGATGACAAGGGGTGTAGAAGCTAAATCATATGATGAACTGTTGAGGGAGTTCAGTATACCTAGCCTAGTGAAGAGAAGGATTGGAGGGACAAGTCTTCTAGTACTTGAGGTGCCGTTAGAGAAAAGGGGGGATTGACTGATTCTCCAAAGCACCAGAGAGGGCAAGCCAAGATTTAATGGGTGGAAGCTTGTTAAAGAGAGATCAACCCTGGAAGTAAGGAGAAATTTACTGACAGTGAGAACAATTAATCAGTGGGAAAGCTGGCATTCTGGAGCTGTGGGTACTCCATTGCTGGAGGTTTTCAAGAGTAGCCTGGACAACCATTTGACTGGGATAGTATAAGGTCTTCTGCCTTGAGCAGGAGGTTGAACTAAGTGACCTCTGAGGTTCCTTCCAACGCTATGATTCTGTGTTCTATGTTTTAAAAGTCCATGCTTCAAATCCATGAGGAGGATTCCATGATACATCAACACAACCTCTCTAATAAAGCCATATGGCCTTTTATATAGCCATAAAAAGCAACAAAAAATCAAGTCTGTGTAGCAATAATGATAGCAGACATTTGTTTTAGTATAATATTGTATTGCCTTTGTTCTAGTATAATATTGTATTGTTCTAGGCATTTGTTCTAGTATAATATTGTATTGATAGGTTTTTCTAGTACGCCTAGATTCTGTTTCTATTCTATTTGTATTGCTAGTGTAAATTTCTTCAGCATTTGTAAACTAGATTGTATATGAATTCCAAGCTCCAAATAGTGGAAGCCACTTTTTTTAACAAAAAGCAATATGGAAAAGGAGATCTATAAAGACTCAGATATCACAGGATTCAGAGACCGTCCGAGATAGTGAGTCAGCTTCCAGCACTTTCAAGTCTTCTTGTTTTTGTCCCTCGGAATAGCTGATGGATTAATTCAGTGCTTAAGCAGGTGTTAAACCGAGTCTCAATTTCACAGGGGAAGCCATGGAATGCTGAAGAAAAATCTCAACCCTTTGCAGTCATCAACAGAGGATGCCATGAAAGATCACAAAGCCGCCGTTATGAAAGGTTTAGAGAAACGGCTGCATTTATGGAATGACGAATCTTTCCACAGTCAACAGGTCAGTTTGCCGGCTAAACTGTTAAAATGTGTGTGTCCCTGAAATGTCAAAAACCTGGGGCTGTTACACCTGGAAAAAGGAAGCCTCTCTGGTAGTGTGGCATTCAATGGGCAAAAGGTGTTGATTGCATCAAATGTTGGTTATCACCTTTAAAGCGCTCCATGGCATAGGGCCTAGCTATCTTCGAGACCGCCTGCTGCCACCGACGACCTCCCATTGACCCGTGCGCTCCCACAGAGAGGGCCTCCTCAGGGTGCCATCAGCCAATCAATGTAGGCTGGTGACCCCCAGGGGGAGGGCCTTCTCTGTGGGGGCACCCACCCTCTGGAATCAGTTGCCCCCAGAGATAAGGAGAATCCATGACCTCAGTGCCTTCCACCGTGCCCTTAAAACCTTCTTTTTCCAACAAGCCGGGCTGGCCTAATTCTTTTTAAGTGTTTTTAATTGTTTTGTTTATCGTTTTAATTAATGGGGCCAAATCTATATATATATATTTAACTGTATTTTAATATTTGTATTTGATGTTTTTATTTGGCTGTTCACCGCCCTGAGTCCTCAGGGAGAAGGGCGGTATACAAATTCAAAATAAAATAATAAATAAATAAATAAAATGGACCCACTGGGCAGAAAAAAGAGGTAAAATTCCATCCAAGACATACACTCCCACACCCTGTTCCAAAGTCCCAAACTTGGGGACTGATCCAAGATCAGTCATGTGATCATACAAAGTGTATGTGAATGTTTCTTGCTTATAATCACTATTTATAGGATATCACGATTTGTCTAAAACAGGGATGTCCTATGGACTAATGGACTTCAACTTCCAGAATTCCCCAGCCAGCATGGTCTTAAAATTGCCAAGGTTGGACACCCCTGGTCTAAAGCATACATATTTGTCAATGATTAATAGTTGTTTATACCAGAGCTGTAAATAGCATGGTTTCAATTATATTGGAATCAGCCGTTTCTCCCTCCTGATGGGGAGGGGACTTAGGTTGACTTGGAGGTGAATCTTTAATTCTGAATGATACATACTCAATCACTAAGTACTCCAATGACTTCCAGTCGAGAAAATTCTCTCACATTGCAAAGGTGAAGGTCCTGTCTCAGTGCCTGGAGGTTCTTACATTCTGGATGGTGAGCGCTGTAGGATCAGGCTTAATCCCGGCAAGATAGAATGATTATGGGGTCCATTTTGGTTATCTTCTATCTTTGATTGTAGATTAGATTGCATCATCCTGCATGGGTTTAGTTTGTAACTTGCAGGCCCTCATGAGCTCATGGTTCCTTAGCTATGGCTAAGAGGCCCTTTGCACAATTGCATCTGGTGCGACAGTTATGATTTGCCTTTGTTTGGGAGGCCCTGCTCACAGTCACTCCTGTCTTAATCAGCTCTTGTCTGGGCATTTGCAATGCACAACTCCAACTGATCCAAAATGCGGCAGCACAAGTAGAGATGGGAACTCCAGCTTTTCCTATATAAGCTTTGAGAGTTGCATAAGTTACCAGTTTTCTTCCGAGTGCCATTCAAGAGGTTGGTTGTCACCTTTAAAATCCTACATAGCTTACAATCTGACTATCTGTGTGTCTACCTTCTCTTGATGACTTCTCCTCACCCTGTAAAATGAGGAATGGTGGGATCTCTCCAAGTTCCTCCTCTTCAGGAGTGTCATCTTCAGGTACCTTTGTCAGTAGAGCTACCACTTTCTCAGTAGAGTATCACCTGATCAATTTTGCAGAAAGCCATTAAAACTCACAAATTCCAAGAAATATTGGGAAACAGATTTGTTGTGGCTTGTTGTGATTCGTATTAAAAGGAATCCTCCTGATACAGATTTCTGTGTCCTATTGCTGTTCCACTGGGACAAGGGCTGCTGCTGATCCTTGTGGCATTGATTACTACTTCAATTTTCTAATGGAAGAATATAAATATCTCAGAATCCTGTTTGGAGTGACATAAATTGCAGTAAACAAAAAACCATGCTTAATATGGAATGCGTCGACAATATACATCAACAAGAGATCATACTGTACATTATTAAGACAAGATTATATTGATATTTGACTGCTGTTACCAGCACAATCCATTGTACTGAGTCATATATTCAGGCTGTGGCCTATCTTGCAAGGTTGTTGAAGACATCACTGTTTCTCCCATTAGTTTTCTTTTTAATTAACAACAAGCAATAGTGCTAAGCTTATTCTTTGGGAGGAAATAAACCACCAGTTTTTCCCAGAATATCTCTAGATCAGGACCCAGAGGCATTCTGGCAAAATGAAAGCAGCAGCTGGGACACCTGTCCTTAGTAAGGGTCTTCTCTGGACGGAGGGCTGCCAGCTGTCCCTGCTGCAACTGCCAAAGAAGAACCAGAGGAAGATTGAAAAGAGTATCAGAAGGTAGAACAGTGCACCTGCTCCAGTCCATTACTGATCTTGTATACAAGATCTTGTTTCTTTATTTCTGTAATTAATATATTTTGTTAGACGAGGAATACAAAACTAGAAGTGGCTTGGAAGCACATTCCTCAGCTCCAAACAGTACTACCAGGTATTTTTTTGGAAACTCTAGTAGAAGGTATCACCAAGGAAAGGAGAATATGGAACCTCAGGGTATCAGCCTCACAAGATAGACCAGAGCAGGAAATCAAATCCCCAGAAAGACTAAAACTATTTTTGTTGAGATGGGCTATAATAATAGAATCTTGCAAGTCTGAGCATCCTATACCTCTTCTTCCTTCTTATAGTCCGGTAAATTATGGCAATACCAGTCTGAGGCACTTATGACATTCTGGTTTAGCTCCTTTCCACCTAGCTCCTACGTATCTTCATCAGAGATGGTATTCAGCCAGTTCGGACTGGTTCACCCGAACTGGTAGCGGAAATCGTGGGTGGGCCCGGCCACCCGCCCTGGCTCTATGCTATCCTATTTAGGCACATTTTTGAGGCCGGGTGCATTCATGGTAGGCACACGCGCCAGCCAAGTGCATGTATGGAAGGCCATGCGCATGCGTAGACGGGCACGCGCACATTTGCGAACCGGTAGGGAAAGTAAGTGAATACCATCCCTGATCTCCATCAAGGTCATCTTACTTATTCTCTACATTGAAGCCCCCACAGCCATTTCAAGAGCAACTTTGCCCAAGCTTGCTTAAATCTGAAGGCAAATTGCCTCCTCCTTAAGGTGCAAAATATAAGCTACTGTACATTATAGCTAAAGTAGACACATTACTGTATTTTTTTTTAAAAAAAAACCTACTCGATTCAGCCTTGTGATTGTCTGCATCCTCTTGGTGACCTCCTCATCCAAATTTAAAGAGTGACATTGGGCTACCCAAAGTTTGCCTATTTCTGGTCCAACGACGCCAAAGACTAATATATTTCTTCGAACAGGCCAGTGTCGTCGTGTTCATTTAATATCTCAACAATCCTATTGTTTTTTTTTTATTTATTTGACCTTATGTCTTTCATAAAATTCAGAAATGGAAAAGAAAGAACTAGGCTTCCAATGTGCAGAGGGATACTCTTCATTTTGGCAGGCTTGCACAGTGGGCAATTTTGTCTTTCCTAATCGAACTCTAAATTCGGCATGGCAGCCACTTCCTTTACCAAATAATCTACCGGTAGCAAACAGAGGCCAGATCCATAGATGGGTCCAAGGACAGGGTCAAAAATGTCAAGATGACAACACGTATTTTAAAATGGGGCTGCCCTATTTATACAGCCACCATTTTGATTCTTTTAATACACACATGAATACACCAGAGAGCTGGCTGGCAGATTGAGAAATAAATATATAAAAATCCAGACTGGAATCACCCCAAACAGTATAGGTCTTTTCCCCTTCACACCCCCTTTGTGACTTCAATTCAGCTGTGAAAAAGCCAAAAGGAAAAAAAAGAAATGCTGAGGCTACAGTAGCCTCACTCTCCCATCTCTGTCTGGAAGTAAAACTGAAAGTTTTATTCAGGACTTCTCAGCATGTACAGGTAGTAATAAAAGACCTGGCATGGCAAGGCAAAAACCTGTTAATTAGAATAGAATTGAATAGCATCCTAATGGTATAATTCTACTTTAGAATGCTGGGTCAACCTAGCTGGAGACTTAACTTTTTAATGTAATTATAGCTAAGTCACTTTGCAACTGACCAGTATTTTGGCAGAGATGAGATCTCAGACTCTTAGACTTACTATTTTATTGAATCTGGAACTGAGCTGTCTTCCTGCAAATAGATCCCAGGGCCAAGTGGAGTAAAACAAGCCAAATTAAACTGAGTAAATACAACCACATGACAGATTGTGAAATAGTTCCATGAATATCTTTGGTATGATTAAAGAGATGTTTTTCACTTAACTTTATATGTGGAGTCCCACATACCAGTGTTGTCAACATTGTGATACTTGTAGATGGTCTTCAACTCTCCATATCTACCTACTTACCAGAATGAAAGGAACCCTATAGAAATGAACATTAGCAACACCACAACTAATAAGTGTTTGAGTCTCTTCCTTTGGATTGAGCTACTTAATCATTTCTAGTTAATCAGAGGCACACGGCATATTTGAACAGATGGCAGAAACAAGGGTGCTAAAGTTTGTACTTGCTGAAGGAAATAGTAAGATAAATTGCTGAAAAGATGATAAAATATCACCTGGTTTTTGCATTAGTGATATGGCTCCTTTAGAAGCCTCCCTCATTCTGCATTCACCAAGCGAGCAGATGAGAGCACAAGCTATTTACATACAGTGGGGCTGGTTGTATAAGTTCACAAGGGTGTATTCCTGTTGGAAGAATTGTCCATCTGGGTTCAGTTCCAAGTGGGGAAAAAGACACTGGATTCATGGAAGTTGCTTGGAAAGAAGGTTTATTGATGAACAGGATCACATGCCTTGGAGATCTTGGGTGAAAAAAAGGGAGGAGATGCTGAGAGTGCCTGGGCTTTGCACCCTCTCTTGGGCTTTGAATTTGAGCTTGTGTTCTGATTGGTTGTCAGACTCCCATGGGGCCACGCAAGGGAAACTTTATAGGTTGTCTTTTGAGTCCCAGGCTTGGTTGACTCTTGCTGGGTGATGATGTAATGAAAGGGCTTTGGGCAATTCCTACTATGGCTCTGCCTCTGCCTGAAGGAGATAGATCTTTATTGTTATGCAGAATAGACTGGCCCAGGCCTTAATGGCCCATTGACAAAGGTGGGGGGGGCTGAGTTTCTGCCTCCCTTTTAGGGAAAATATTCTGCCCTTTTAATATTTCCTAAAATATCTCATTTTCCTAGGAGAGGGGTGGGTGCTAATTTCCTGCATGCCTATGCATGCTTACTTGGATTCAGCTCAAGTAATTAAATCCAATGGGATTGTCTTTAGAGAGCAGAAGCACCAGGTTACAACTTTATCGCCATTCTGGTGGACTGATTATTATTCTCATCATAGTTTCAAGCAAACATTGAAAGGCAATTCCACACTAGTAACTTACTCTGCCATATACAGATAGTTCTCATCTTATGACCGCAATTGGGGCCAGAATTTCCACTGCTAATCAAGGGGATTATTAAATGAGTCATGCCCAATTTTATGACTTTTTTTTTTGCCACAGTTGTTAAATTACTGCAGCTAAGTGAATGATACAATTGGTAAACAAATCTAGGTTTTCCCCATTGAACTTTGTTTGTTGAGCTGGGAAGGTCGCAAATGGCAATCACATTATCCCAGGATGCTGTAACCATCATACAGTCATGCCAGTTGCTGCACACCTGAATTTTTATCATGTGTCCGTGGGGATGTTGCAGCAGTCATAAGTGTGAGCATCAGTCATATGTCACTTTAATTCTTTAATTTCCCTAGCAGTGACTGAGTGATGCTATAATATAAGATGTCATAAACCATTAATTTGAAAATAGTCTATGTATCTTTCTCACTTCCCCTTTTATTAAAAGAAGCCCATCTAGGCTTGCATCAGAAAATTAACCAGTTTCAGACCTGGGAAATGGGAAACTTTAGAAAATTCCAGGATTGTAGGAAAGACTGGGAAACTTAAAATAATACCAGAAAAGACATCCAGTCCTTCCATGTTGCTGTCAAGGAAACTACATGAACATTCCTAAGCCATTATAAGGAGAGAGCCTGATTTGAAACTTAGTTTTACTTTTTCTTTGCATTGTTGAGTAAGGTAATGGCCACTGAAGCAAATGCGATTCTGCCAGGGAAAATTATTTCTTTACAATAGTAAATGCCAAGAGGAAGATGAACGCCTCAGCATGTTGCACATGATAATAGGAATCGTTGACAAAGACATTAAACGATCAGAAGACATTAAATGATCTGGCACATCTGGATATGGAATCCTTGCTAGTCCAAAATTGTTCAGTTAAGAAAATTGAGCGATGATATTTTTGCCCCTATCTGAAGCATTGGTCTATTGAAGGGAATGGATAGATAATAATGAAATTCTGCAATGGTTTTAATATGCTTAATATAAGGGAGTTGTTTTTAAAATACTAGTGGGAAAGAAGATTCTATCCAGACGCTATCTGAGATATTATCTGGGAAACACACAGGTTATGAAAAACCAAACTTTGCAAATCTCAAGCAAGGTGGAACAATGATGGTGGAGAATCTTACTTTTGGCAAAAAGAGAAGGACAATTTGTGAAGGACGGAGGATACAAAGGTTGGGAAAAAGGCAGTGGTGAACAGTTAGGTATAAACTGAAAAAAACATGCAAAATATGCTTTGTCACTCCCATTATTAATCTACTTTAGAAACACAGATAGCTGGATATTGTTTATATTAGACTGCAATTTTTCTAATATTTTGCAATCTTGATATATTTCCAAATTTTGATTGTGATCCTATAGTTTCCCCCAGAAGTCATTGAACTGGAAAGATCTGGGATCTATTTTCAGTTTTTGGAAAATGTGCAGTCCCATTTTTTAAAGTGTGTGTCTGTATAAAAGCGTATATACAAATACAGGCATTTTACAATTACAAATTGTAATGTGTAATTATAATTGGAAGACCTGTAGGACCACATTAGATATAGATCTTCAGGGAGAAAATTTGTCTACGTGGCTGCTAAGAGTCAGCAACAACTTGATGGTACATAAAAAAAAAATTAAAAAGCAAAATTATATCATATCTTTTATGGGGGCATATGGGAGCAAACAGATCATGTTTATTTATAGTGCACGTATTATTTATTTACAGTTACAGCTCTTATTTTTAAAATCTTTGATAATATCTCATGTTTAATAATACAAATAGCCAAAAAAATAGCAATAGCATTTGGACTTATATACCGCTTCATAGTGCTTTACAGCCCTCTCTAAGCAGTTTATTGAATCACCATATTGCCCCCAACAATCTGGGTCCGTATTTTACCAATCAGGAAGGATGGAAGTCTGAGTCAACCTTGAGCCGATGAGAATTGAACTGCTGGCAGTCAGCAGAATTAGCCTGCAATACTGCATTCTAACCACTGCGCCACCACGGCTCTCTTATAGCAGCCCACAGTTGCCTACCAAGGATGTGTATCCATGTGTTTGTATGCACATACATGAACATTTGCACATATATAATATGCAACCTGTAAAATATACTATGCTACCTCAGTTAAAACTTAAATAAATTATACTATCTAGTAGCAATTAAATCCTAAATTTGCTTTTACCTCTGAAGCTACCTTCTGTTCTTCATTCTTTCAATAAAATAATGCCCATAAATGTCATCATAACTTTTTCCTCATGCAATTTTCCTCATTCCTCGTTCCCTCCGCCAGAAAACAGCCTATGATGAAAATCTGGCTCACGGGCTACAGGGACCCAGCCCTCATTCCCCAACTTTCAACTTTACCGCTGAGGAAGTATCCCAGGTACAGCCTTCCTTTCCAACACATGTGTGCCTCATATGTACAGTACATATGTTCAGTAGAATGCAAAGCCTGAAATTTAACTTCTGCCATTGAAACGAGGTTGGGTATTTCTTACATTAAAATGAGCTGTGATTATGCTTGATTATTCATGGTAAGTATTTTAACAGCAGCCAAAGGTGTTAATTACAAGAAATCTGGGTTCAAAGCAAAGGTATTCCATAAACTACAAAAAAGGTTCAAATTCTAAAACCCTGTTGGAACATGGTTTAGTGTGTTTGCATTCTGACCAGAGGGCATTCAAGCAGCTGATGAATTAACTGTTGTTTAACTGTTAATGTTGTTAACTCAAGATTTACAATCCATTACATTCTAAAGTTAAGTAACATTTCCATATTTTATTTTGATGCATTTTCAATTTACATATTTTCAGTTTGCAGCCTTCACTGCAATTAAGAATCCCCACCCTGTATCAGTTCTATAGACTATTCTTTTGACATTTTCTACAGAGCAAAAATGTTCTAATTCCTTGACATAAAGTCTATATATTACAGAAATCATTGTATGAGCATTATAACTGCCCGGGTTTCTTGCATTTTGCAAGGTAGCCTTCTGATCTGCTGCCATGTATATCATCTGTTTATATTATTCTCAAGTCCTTACAGTGACGGTACTGAAGCTAAAATATGTCAGGGTCTCTGAAACTAAAAATCAGAGCTATCTAGCTAGAGGATATGATAAAAAGTAAGGATAGTAGCCACAATGGTGTGATCAAAGTCTACCTGTTTTTATGTGTATTTTATGTATGATATACATAAAAAAGCAGGTAAAGCTTTGATCACACTGCTGTCCCTGCCATGTTGACATTTATGACCGTGCTCTACAGGCAGCCCTGTGTAAAATTATTAGCACCAAAAGGTTGTGGAGACTAGATTTCTGAGAGATGAAAGACAACCCTGGTTTAGGCTGGCATTAAATTTAAGGATAATGGAGGTTTACCTCAGAAGGCAATAATAATGTTTTCAATAGCCGTATTTACTATTTACTGGTTTTGCTCAAAATTGTTACTATGGATAAATGTATTTGATTGCCCGAGACCAGCACTTTTCCTTTCCTAGTTTTAAAGACCTTTCATAACAACAAAGAGAAGTGACTAACTGAGATAAGAATTGGTCCATTTTGTAAAGCAATCTGCTGAGGTATCCTTTGTGAAAGACAAAATTAAACAAGGTGAAATCTTATAAGCCTGGAGTTTGTCTGCCAATTGGGGAGCAGCCATGGAGCAGAGCTAACCCAATAATCTTGAAAGTAATAGGACTCCCACCTAGCAGCTGGACTTCTGGCTGCATTTTTACGGTTGTGTCATCTTATGGTTACAGTTCCTTTTAAAGGGCAATTTAACAGTCAGAACAGGTCAGGGGTGGGCTGCTGGGGGTTTGCAGGGGTTCGGGAGAACCTCTAGCTAAGATTCTGTGCAGTTCAGAGAACCCCCAAATCCCACTCCTGGCTGGCCCCGCCCGCCCTGCTCCTCCCCTCCCAGGAGTCCCCACATGGCCTGTTTTGTATGCAGGTAAGTGTAGGACGTGTGCAGAGGCTCAGGGAGGGTGAAAAATGGGCCTACCTGAAGTTCAGGAAGGCCAGAAACAGGCCTGTTTCCGGCCTCCAGAGGGCCTCCGGGACCTGGGGAGGCTGTTTATGCCCTTCTGGAGGCTCAAAGAAAACCTCCGAAGCCCAGGGAGGGCAAAAATGCCCCACCGCCGTGTTGCAGGAGACCGCCCACCATGGCCACGCCCACCCAGCAACCGGGCAGAGAACCCCTTGCTAAAATATTTGAAGCCCACCCCTGGAATAGGTGCAATAAGAAAGATCTGGAAATAGGCTTTTCCTCAGCGAAAGAATGTGATTCTTTTTTTCTCCAGGACTTTTTTCCCATCAGTTCTGCCTCACCTCCCATCATAAAGGGTCCTTCTAGATTGGTGAAGTGTACAAAGAATGTCTGACTAACTTTACTAATACCCCTTCTGTGTTCTTGGGCTATTCTCTTCCTTGTCTGAAGAGCAACCAAAAGAAGCAAAAAACAGAAGGCTAAGGATGACAAGCTCATCCCACGTTGTGAGAATGAGGAGGATGGGTATGTGAGGATAAATATGGACTCTGCCAAGATGACTTCAGAAAGGAGTGCTTTAGGGATGAAAATTTTGGTGGGGTGGAAGTGCCTTATGATTTCCCCATCAGACAAACAGCTTTTTGGGAGGGAGGGATTTCAGTTAAGAAAACTTTCATGGACATAGTTGAACGTGAATCTCCTTGTTCTAGGATCCTGATTAAATTGAGAAGTGGGGATGGACAACTCTCATATATCCAGTGGGGAGATTTCCAATTAGTGGAAGAGCTTTTCTTGGACAGTTGGACACTTACATTCGTTCTTGTTCATTTTTATCTTCTTTTCAAAATTCTTAGTTAAAAAAAACAGAAAAAGTAAGAGCTATTGAGACCAGAGATCCATTTAGTACAATCCCTCACTTCCACAAGCTTTAAAAAATTATAATGAATCAGGCATCTTCAGTTCATTTTCTTTTACTGGAACCAAAGGTAGACAGAAATTCAACTCCTTATCTCAACATTCAATAGAGCAAAGTTGAAGTCAATCAAGAGTAAGAAAAGTAAAAACAAGTCGGTAAAAGTATATTTGAAAATATTTAATTTGCCATCTTAAGTGTCTTGAACATGGAAATGCTGGGAAGTGAAGTCTACATATCTTGAAGTTGCTGAGGTTGAAAAACACTGAATTAATCAAACAGGAAATTATAAAATAATTTATGTTCATGGTAAACATTCAGTTTGCCTATTCTATTTTGAGCAGATTATTGCTTTATTTGTATATGTATTGTTCTTGTTATTATGCTTGAGTGAAGTTGCTTGTTGTTGTTATTTTCCACTTATAGGATCTTTGTGACCTTGGACAAAAAACAACCCTTTTATATGTTTCTAAAAACATCAGTGTTTGCACTGAAATCTGTGTCAATAGTGATGTAATTATTTCATTGTTGCTCACAATTAAATATTCCTTTAAATATATCATCTATTGCTTTGAAAGAAGGACATTATTTTATAAGTCATTTAAGTTCCTTGAATTCCTCTTTTGCAATATTGATGTTTCTTCAGCCTGATAATTCTACTGTGTTTCTTCCTTTAGTGAAAAAAAACAACAAAAATAATGATGTCTATTTTCTTTCAATCAGGATCCTGTTTTGAATTGTTGTTATCAAGTAAACTGATTAAAGGGCAGAACATAATAAATTCACACTTTTTTATACTTCTGATATGAGTTTGTTCTGAAATAAGGAGAATTGCTTTTTGGTCTCGAGAGATGTTCCAAAATGCTGGAGGCTGCAAAAGCCACCTTACACATTCTGTGAGGGGATCATGGGTTTTAAGAAATAAAACTATAGTATAGCCATTTTAGAATTTACATTCCACATTTCATGAGTTTTCATTTTCAAAATGGTGAGAGACTATATTTCCAGCAAATTTAATCCACGGGTGTTTTTTGGATTGCAAAAAGTAGCCACATGTTTCCCCACTGGAGACCTTTTAAATGATGGTGGGTGAGTCCCACAGTCATCTGCAAATCTTTATCTAGGCTACTACTGCAGAAATAGTGTTGCCTATTGGCAAGACCTTTTTTATTGGATGCGGTGGCTCAGTGGGTAAGACACTGAGCTTCTCGATTGAAAGGTTGGCAGTTAAGCGGTTCAAATCCCTAGTGCCATGTAACAGGGTGAGCTCCCGTTAGTTGTCCCAGCTCCTGCCAACCTAGCAGTTCAAAAGCACATAAAAATGTAAGTAGAAAAACAGAGACCACCTTTGGTAGGAAGGTAACAGCGTTCCATGCACCTTTGGCATTTAGTCATGCTGGCCACATGACTACGGAGACATCTTCAGATAGCGCTGGCTCTTCGGCTTTGAAACAGAGATGAGCACCACTCCCTAGTGTCGGGAACAACTAGCACATATGTGCAAGGGGAACCTTTACCTTTACCTTATTGGCAAGAAAAGAAGGCACAATCTCTTCCTCTCTCTAAAATGAAGTGTCAGTTGATTGTTGGATTATAATCTTGCATCTAGAAGCATCCCTATTTAAAAGCCTAATCTGAAATTATCCCTAGACCAGAGGAAGTAGAGAAGCAGCAGTGTCAGGGAACAGAATTCCTCCTCCTTCCCCCTTCCTAATCCCACCCTTCATACTGTGAGAGATAGAGAGCAGAGCCAAATGTAGTTATGTTTATTCTCTGATGGAATTCTATGACAAACATTTAAGGAGGGGATTCCTCCTATCGTTTGGAGCACAAACAAATAGAGTAAGAGATTTTCCACTTAGCCCCACACTATTTATTTTTATGATTGAATCTCTAATCATTTGAATCTTTTTATGATTGTTTTTGGCCATATAGGAGTCATTACTTGGGGAAAAAAGTATATACTAAGAAATATTTATTAGGCTCCAGTGAGATATATAGACTTGATTCAACTATTATTTTGCAGGAATATAAAATTTCCAATTTTGAGCAGAGATTAATGAATGAAATAGAGTTTCGGCTTGAACGTACTCCCGTGGATGAATCAGATGATGAGATCCAACATGATGAGATCCCTACCGGCAAATGCATTGCTCCAATTTTTGACAAGAGACTCAAGCATTTCCGTGTCCCGGAAGGATATCCAGCTACATTCACTTGCAAAATTGTTGGAATCCCCGTACCCAAGGTAGGGCCTCCGAACAGCAGAACACGAATACTTCTGAGCAATTTCTCATGTCAGTTGTTTTGATCTACTCCTATATAAAGAACTTTGACCCGATGACATTTAAGATTAGATTGGGTTGGATTAGATTAGATTAGATTAGATTAGATTAGATTAGATTAGATTAGATTAACAGAGTTGGAAGGGACCTTGTAGGTTATCTAGTCCAAATTTGAATTTGCGGAAAGCAAGGAAAGGTTGCTGTGAATACGCACACCCCCAATTCCCTATTTTGGAGGGTTGGGGGCCATGTAGATAAGCAGGGGAGATTGAAGAAGACTTAAGAAGCAGAAACTCTTGTTCATTGGTGGATCAGTCATTTCTGTGAACAGAAACAGATTTTGTTTGCAGAAAGCCTATGTCTCTAAATATTCAAAAAGGATACAGTGCTACAGAAGCCATGACGATTTCTAATTCCTATTAAATGGTAAGATCTTGCCTCTTATGTTGAACCATTGTGTTTTAGGAGAGCTAATACAAATTGGCCTCTGTGTTTTACTTCCACTTCACTTTTGTGCTTCATGGAAGAGCAGGAGGCATGTTACCATGTGTAGATCAGAGGTGGGTTTCAGCAGGTTTTGACCAGTTCTGGAGAACCGGTAGCGGAAATTTTGAGTAGTTCAGAGAACCGGTAGTAAAAATTCTGACTGGCCCTGCCCCCATTTATTCTCTGCCTCCCGAGTCCAAGCTGATTGGGGATTATGCAATAATCTTCCCCTGGATTGGGGAGGGAATGGAGATTTTACAGTATCCTTCCCCTGCTACGCCCACCAAGCCACGCCCACCAAGCCATGCCATGCCTACCAAGCCACACCCACAGAACCGGTAGTAAAAAAATTTGAAACCCACCACTGGTGTAGATCCTTTTTAATCGCACACTAGAAGAAATACGATGCTCATCAGCCATTGCCCAGATACGCAGTGGGAAACACTTCCCCAATTCAGTGGCCTTCCAACTCCCATTATCTCTCAACAGGCATGAGTTTTGTCCAGGGGTGGGCTTCAAAAATTTTAGCAAGGGGTTCTTTGCCCGGTTGCTGGGTGAGCATGGCCGTGGTGGCCCCCTGCACCACAGCGGGGTGTGTGTGTGTGTTCTTGCCCTTCCCCAGGCTCCGGAGGTTTCCTCGAGCCTCCAGGAGTGCAAAAACAGCCTCCACAGGCTCCAGAGGCCCTCTGGAGGCTAGAAACGGGCCTTCCCGAACTTCCTGGAGGCCCGTTTTTCATCCTCCCTGAGCCTCCGCATGTGCCCTACACTTACCTGCATCCAAAATGGGCCACATGGGGACTCCTGGGAGGGGAGGGGAGAGGTGGGCAGGGCCAGCCAGGAATGGGATTTGGGGGTTCTCCAAACTGCACAGAATCTTAGCTAGAGGTTCTCCTGAACCCCTGCGAACCCCCAACAGCGAACCCCTGGTTTTGTCTATAATTTCTGTAAGTCATTGAATCTGAAATCAAACAAACTTGGAGGTTACCATGATGGTAAGAGGAGCCTTAGGGATTTTTTCAATCAATAATTACAAGAGGAGGGATTGCCCATTATTCAGTTGCCCAACCTTCCAGAGAGTTGCAAGATCCCACTCAGTGACTGGTGACATCACCTAGATGGGAAACCCTCTGGAAAACTGTGCTTTTTCTACCAGGATTTAGAGATGGGGATGGGAGAAGGTCTCTGAAAGTCCAACTTGTTCCATTTCCCATCCTTAAAGCTACTCTCAAACATGGGACAAGGAGATCAGAGAGTTCTGTGGGTGGCACAAATAAAAGGTCATATATAGCTCTGATTTATGGACTACATTGCCCCTTGGTTTCAGAGAATGGTGTCTCTTATGCAGCTAGTTTATTCCAAAATTTAAACTTGAATTGAGAATCTATTTGCTGCATTATTTCATGCAGTCTTTTTACTCTCAAATAAATCATCACAATGAATTCAATGAGATTTTCTTCCAAGCCGATATACGTACATAGAATTATAGTCATAAATACAAGACTATAACAGATCTTTCTTTAAAAATCCCCCAGGTATACTGGTTTAAGGATGGCAAACAAATTTCGAAGAAGAATGGACATTTCAAAATGATTCGAGATGAGGATGGCACTTGTTCTTTACATATTGAAGCTACTACAAACGATGATGATGGAAACTATACATTCATGGCTGCAAATCCTCAGGTACAAATTCCTATATACACATTGTTTAAACTTAAGAGGATGAAGACAGACACATACATTTTGAAAGTTCATTTTAATGATTGATTGATTGCTATCAGTTGATTTTGAATCTTGGCAACAATGACAATAACTGCAGTACAAGATTTATAGTTCTAAAAGTATAATAAGATTTTTGTCTTATTTCTTTAAAAAAATCAGCCTTATGTATCACAAATGTGATCTAGCAATGAAGAATGACCAATGCATGGTGAATGAACAAATAACATTTTTTTCTCTCTTGCATGTTCTGGCAGGGAAGAATCAGCTGCTCTGGTCGTTTGATGGTTCAGACTCCTACACTACGGAGTAGATTATCAACACCTATCCAGTCTCACAGGTAAAAAAATAAAATTAAAAAAGGATCTGATGCTAAAATATAGATTATGAGGTAAGCATGAGTTTTACTGATGCTAAAATATAGATTATGAGGTAAGCATGAGTTTTACTTGGCAAATTCCTGTTGTGGGTTTGGAAATCCTTAATTTCTAAACAATGAAATTCAGAAGACTATGTTTTCTTAGCTAAAAGCTCTTTTTTCTGCTCACCTATCCAATATTCTGATGTGTTTGAAATGCAGGGGAAGGTCCCGTGTATCAGAAAGAGATCGGGAACCTCTGCAGGAACGTTTTTTCCGGCCATATTTCCTGCAGGCACCTGGGGACATGGTAGCCCATGAAGGCCGGCTTTGCAGACTCGATTGCAAGGTATTGGGGTCGAGGGGGCTTTCTTTATTCATCAGCATAGGTGGTGCAAGGGATGCACTAGTAATTGTGTGTTATTATTTGCATTACTATTTGCTCATATTCCCTAAGAACACACACACAACCAGGTAGCTTTTATTTGAGACAAATTAAGGAAAGTGATTGGTGGATTAACAACAAATGTCAGACACTGCTATGAAAAACATCCATTGGTAACTGTCATTAACATGGGTTCCAGGTGTTAGATGGTGCATGTGCTTATTTTGATTTTATTGTTTAACATTTAATGTAGGCTTTGAATTGTGTTTTTCTTTGATATCCAGTTTGCACATCACAGGGAGCATGCTTGTTCGGTACATTTGTATCCGAGCCAACAATTGTTTAATAAACCATGGTTAATTTAGGCTTATACAACCAATTATGGTTCACCATAATCTTTGATGCAGGCCTGTAACATGTTTTCTTTTCCCTGGTTTTCTTACATCATTTGTTCTACAAGAACAATGAATTTGGGATAGATGTCACTAATATGAAACTTTGCTTGCTTATGACTATTTTCTCCTCCGTTAGGTAAGTGGCTTACCACCACCAGAACTGATGTGGCTTCGGAATGGCAAGCCTGTATTACCAGATGTCACTCACAAAATGCTGGTCAGAGAAAATGGAGTACATTCTTTACTTATTGATCCTCTCAGACAAAATGATGCTGGAATCTACACCTGCGTAGCCACCAACAAAACAGGACAAAATTCCTTCAGCTTGGAACTGTCTGTTGTAGGTAAGTCTTTATTAGATGTTCTTCTTCATCCATCCTGAACATTAGACCATTTGTGTACTTCGTTAACTAAAACCCCTGTGGCTGAAAATTGAATCATATGAAAATGTTCATTATCTTAATGAATTGTGTACCATGAATGGTGAGCTTGATTGAATTCAAGAGCCAGAGCTTCTTCGCAGTGGATTGGATGTCATTGGCCAAACCCTGAATCTTTATGTCATTATGTTTACACTGAGTAAACTGGATGTCCTTTTTTGAAATTGTTGTGGCCCGCCAGGAGTTCTGGCAGCAGATTCAGACAATGAGAAGGTTGGGGAGGAACATGGGCCAGTCCTGGAGTCTGGGGAAGACTCTGACGAGTGCTCTGCATTGGAGGCAGAGATGGGGCCAGGGCCATCTAACAGTTGTCAGCTGCCTTCGGAGTCGGACATCAGTGAGGCAGAAGAACAGCTGGAGCCTGTTCCCAGTGTGTGCATGCGCAGAGCTGCCAGGAGAAGGGAACAGCTAAGAAACAAGGGTCGACTCAGGAGTAAAGCCACAGGTGGACAGTGAATGGCCCCTCCCATAAGGAATAAAGAGGAGTGAAAGGGGAGGGGAGTTTGCAGGAGACAATTAGTTCAATTCATTAGAGTGAAGATCTGTTACTGACTTCTTGCCAAGTATTGTCTGCTACAGAGTGGTGTATGGAAGATATCGGCCTGGCAGCTTTCCAAGCCTGATAAAGGTTTGTAGTTGTGAAATCTCTTGAAAGACTGTTGGCCGGGACTTTGCTGGAGAGGAATTCCCTTTAAACGAAATAAAAGGGGTTTTATCAGGACGGGGAGTCTGCTTCGTGCTTTTGGGAAGCCTAGGTCAGAACAGAAATGTTGGGTTTGGTCAATCATGGACAACGTATGAAAAAATGGGTGGGGCCTTTATTATATACTTACAGCCATCCTGGGTTTTTTAACACACACACACACACACACACACACACACACACACACAGATGCACATCCTCATAGTGCAGACACGCAGAAGTTTTTAGAGTCATCCAGAAACCGTTTTGAACAATTTCAATCATTTTAAGGTCAAAATAAATCGATAAATCCGCCTTTTCTTCTTCTTCAGAAAAGGAAGTTAAAAAAGCCCCAGTGATACTAGAGAGACTACAGAACTGTGGGGTGCCAGAAGGACATCCTGTCCGATTAGAATGTAGAGTAATTGGAATGCCACCCCCAATATTTTTCTGGAAGAAGGACAATGAAACCATACCTCCCCACAGGGAGAGGATGAGGTGAGCATGGGTTTTTGGGAAACTGCTTTTTGATTGTCTAAAAATGTGAGATTTTATTGCTGCAAAGTTTTAATTTATTTTGCACTGAACATGTAGCACCTTTTAGCATGCATAACTCTTGAAACAGTTCTCAACCAACTTCTGAAACATTTAAATATGGTTCTCTGTAGCCCGTGTCTCTTCCTACAAAGAACAATTAAAATGCTTTCAGGGCATGTACTGCATATAGAAGTAAATATTCCTTTATCTAGGAAAAAAATACCTCTGCTGAAATGCAGAATCCCAAAGAGCAGATAGAACTTTTATGCATTATTACATATCAACTGTAAAGTCCCACTGGAGACACATTATAGGAAGATAAAAATCAAGTATGCAAGATTTTTTAAACTACGGAGGATTATAAAGTTTTAAATTATATCAATGTTATTTAAAATTACTGCAGTTATTGACTGCACACAATGAGCAAACTTGTTTGAAACGAGAATTTGGTCAAATAGTTCAAGAGTCCTTGAGATCTTCTATGGCAGAACTCCAAAGTGATTGATCACGAAGCAAGTCCTTCTCTGCATAAACACACACATGCACACAAAAGTTAAGAGGGAGAAAGTGGGAGAGGGAGGGAGGAACAGGGAGGGAGTATCAATATCATGTTTCTGTTGTTTCCTTGAATGATTTCACTAAAATCCTCCAGTATGTCACAAATGACACTGAAATCATTTTATTTCTTCTTAGTATGCACCAAGATGCTACAGGATATGTTTGCCTTTTGATTCAGCCTGCCAAAAAAGTAGATGCTGGTTGGTACACTTTGTCTGCGAAAAATGAAGCCGGTATTGTCTCTTGCACTGCTAGACTTGACATATACGGTAAGTGGCCAAAACTTTAGGGATACAGTAAATGAACAAAATATATGTTATATGTGTGATCAGATCAGGGGTGAAATCTAAATTTTTTTGCTACCGGTTCTGTGGGTGGGGCTTAATTATGGGCGTGGCTTGGTGGTAAGGTGACTGGGTGGGCGTGGCCAAGTCAATATCACTTTTTTGCCCTTTTTTAACCTACAAAACACAACACAATACAACTGGCTCACCCACAATGTAAAAGCAGCTGTGCTAGACCCAAAATGGCCCCTGCAACAAGCAGGAACCTCACACAGCCACAAAAAGCCCAAAAAACCAACTTTCACACTTTACACACACAAAATTCCATATACAGCTTTGTGAGATTTTGTGTGTTTGTGTAGTTAGAGTGAAACACTACAGAAACACACTAAATCTCAGAAAGCTGCACAAATATTATTTTATTTTAATTTATTTTTATTTTTATATAAAAGCAGCTAAATTTAAAACTTCCTAAACTTTAAATGGCTAGGTCTAAAAAAAGAACAACTAAAAAAAACCCCAATTAACTATTTTTTTAAAGCTCCCAAAGGGGAAAAAAACTTACCCAATAGAACAGAGGTCTCCAACCTTGGCAACTTTAAGACTTGTGGACTTCAACTCGAATTCCTCAGCCAGCTTTGCTGGGAGTTGAAGTCCACAAGTCTTAAAGTTGCAGATAGCTCACCCGGCTGCTCACCGATGAGCTTGATTGCAGGCAGGGAGATTCAGTTGCTTGCTGATGCAATGGATTGCAGGTATTACAGCAAGCAAAGCAAGGCAGGCATTGCGACCAGCAGCTAAGGTAAGCAAGGGGCGGTGGGGGGGAGAAAAAAAGAAACTTTTTCTTTTACATGGCTCTGGCGATCCAAGCTGAGTTGCCTGATTAGCAGGCAACTCAGCTGGGATCGTCAGAGCTTGGCTCGTCAGAGCCATTTAAAAGGAAAAAAAGGCTCTGATGATCGCGTGGCTCAGCTGGGCATGGGGGGCGGGGACAGGGATTTTTGCTACCGGTTCTCCAAACTGCCCGTCACCATCGCTACCTACTCGCCCGAGCCGGTCCGAACTGGGAGCATTTCACCCCTGGATCAGATCAGTCTCAATTCTGTATTTGTCATCTCTTCTGTCTTCCCATCATGACACGTTTTTTTCTTTTGAAGGCTCTCTTTATCGGACTTAACTTTTTTCTTGAATTAGAACATAGAATAACAGAGTTGGAAGGGACCTTGGAGGTGTTCTAGTCCAACCCCCTGCTTGAGCAGGAGACCAAATCACTTCACACAAGTGGCTGTCCAGTTTCTTCTTAAAAGCCTCCAGAAATGGGATACCCATAACTTCTAAAGGCAAGGTATTCAACTAGATAATTGTTCTCACCATTAGGAAATTTATCCTTAGTTCTAGGTTGCTTCTCTCCTTGACTAGTTTCCATCCATTGTTTCTTGTCTTACTTTCTGGTGCTTTGGAAAATAGGTTGAACCCCTCATCTTTGTGGTAGCTCCTCAAATATTAGAACACTGCTATCATATCTCCCCTAGTCCTTCTTTTCACTAGATTAGACATACTGAATTCCTACAACCATTTTTTGTAGGTTTTAGCCTCCAGCCCCCTAATCATCCTTGTTGCTCTTCATTAGAATTAAATTAGGTATTGTTAGATATTTAATCTAATCCTTTAGAATCAGATTAGATATTTAGATTAAATATTGTATAACTTACTTGGTTGATTTGCTCAGGAGAGATCATGAATCTCATTCTAGCTGAGTTGAGATCCTGAGACTTGGGCCAGGTCTCTGGAGATTTGTAAGTGATCGTGGATAACAAAGTGAAGATATTCAGGCAGCAGAGTCTTAAATAGCTCTAATAAAACCTGACACTCAGTTGAATTCTTATATTAACAGTTCCTTATTTGGAACTACATAGAACTTGCCTAATTTTTTTTAAAAATGTTTGCTCAGTTTTATTGTATTTATTTCAATTTAGAAAGCTCACTGATACGGTAATAACAAAAAAACCAATGCAATCCTACAGATGCATTCATAAGATTGATGACATTTTGTAAAAGGTACTAAAGTACAACTTTCAGAGTTTTGCCCCACTAACTGCAAGTATTCTGGGACGCATGTCTTGGATTGCAAACTCTTTCATTGGGGCTACATACAAAATAGTTGCCTCTAAATGTCTTGAAACTGCTGAGGCAACTGGGCCGGTCCTTAGAGAGAAGAGGCAGAAGCTAGTCATAATTCAAGAATAATCAATTTGACTCTGTAGGGAGTTATTTAAAAATAGCAGCAAGGAAGGAAAATGCCAGACCACAAACCAGATGAGATCCATTGCACCTTTGGGTCAGGTCTATCACCAGCCTTCCCTGCCCTTCTTGAACCTTTCCTCTTTCTGGTGGCAGTCAGGCTGGAGAAAGAATTCCATTTGCAAATGGAGGTTCTTCCCCTAAGTACACAAAACATTTATTCCAGAAATTCTCGCTCACTAAAAGTAGCACTTGACCTTTAAAAATGTTCCCCAGTTCCTGAAAAAGGTATATCTTTGACCTACAGTTAATGTTATTCCTTAGCAATAGCAATAGCATTTAGGCTTATGTACCACTAGGTGGTTTACAGTGTCAACATATTTCCCCCAATAATCTATATCTTCATTTTACCAATCTCTAAAGGATGGAAAACTGAGTCAGCAAATACTATGGAAGCATCATACAGTGATTCTGTGTTTGCTTGATTACTACTTTTTTGCTTACTGCTCATCATTCATGATAGCATCATAAAATCATAGGGCTGGAAGAGAACTTGGAGGTCTTCTAGTCTAACCCCCTGCCCAAGGCAGAAGTCCTTATGCCATTCTGGACAAATAGCTGTCCAATCTTTTCTTGAAAATCTCTAGTAATGGAGCACCTACAACTTTGAGAAACAAGCTGTCCCATTGATTAATTGTTCTCACTGTCAGGAAATTCCTCCTTGGTTCATGAAACATGAAATACGACAACAAAACCATTAAAAAATGAATACCATACAGTGAAATTCTTTGTAGCAGTCAGGAGCAACGGTATTAGGAGGAACCAAAATTCTAGAAGAAGAAGTGTTCTTTAAGAGTTTATGAAATTGAACAGAGAAGATGCAATAATTGAAGGCAAGATGTTCCACACTGTTAGGACCATCAATGGGAGAAACCTTGCTTAGATAATAACCCTGAGGACTCAGCCCTCCATAGGCCAGCTAGTGCATGCGAAGAGAGATGTTGAAATAAATTTTTAGGCTCAAAAGCATTTAGGGCATTAGAGGTTGATAGTAATAGGACTAGATGACCTACCAGGTCACTCCCAACTCTGTTAATCTAATCTAATATATTAAAATAGTATTGGAAATTTCACATTATTCCAGCTACCTAAAGTTCTTGGAGCAACTTCAAGGGCATTTAGCACATGGTTCTATAATCTGCTTTAGGCTTCTCACATACAAACTAGGGATAAATCTTTTTACAGACTTCATTTTTCTTCTTCTTCTTGTGCCATGTCCGTCATCGTACATTGGCGATCAGGTTGGCAATCCTATTTTTGTCAACAGCCACATGAAAAAGTGCTGCTGAGTTTTGTCCAAACCAGTCCCTTAGGTTTTGAAGCCATGATGTTCTTCTTCTGCCTGGACCTCGTTTGCCTTCAATCTTTCCCTGGAGGATTAAGTGAAGGATGCCGTATTTTTCTGGGTGTCGCATCACATGTCCAAAATATTCTAACTTTCGCTTTTGATGATTTCCCTTTGCTTTCCCAGGTGGCTTATCACCTCCTCATTTGTGATTTTGTTAACCCAGCTTATACATAACAGCCGTCTGCAAATCCACATATCAAATGCTTCTAGTTTCTTCAAGTGGTTTTCTGTCAGAGACCAACTCTTTACTCCGTAGAGCAGGATAGAAAAGATGTAACATCTGACAAGATTTTCAGTCTTATATATAACAACCTTTATTTAAAACCTAAAAGAGATGCTCAGTAGTCATATCCTACATTCATGCCTTTTTTTTTTGCTCCAGCTCAGTGGCATCACCAGATATCTCAGCCAATCAAGTTTCGCTCAAGCAGCACACGGTATGCACACCTCATGGGACAAGGACTCGACATTTTCTCTGCTTTCTCCGCTGTTGAGAATCCAGCACGCTTTTCATCTCCTTCCCAGCCTGTGGTAGAAAGTGAAGAACTGTAAGAAAAAAAAGGTTCAAATTCTCCCTGAAAGTAAAGAAATACTAGAACTGTGAAAAGGAACGGAAGGAGACATGCTGAAACGTTGAAGGTTTACAGCTAATATAATTGATAAACGGTAAAGATATTGAGAGCCAAGATTTCGATGTGGCATCATACCATGCAGCTGTTGTGGTATAGAATATACTGCAACAAATTTTGTGCTGTATTACTTTCGTTCCACGGGTTATGAAGAAAAGTGACCTTGTTTTCAGCTGTTAAAAAAGTTAAAAAAAAGATGTGCCCATTTTCCTGCTAAGATTTTACGGCAGTTAAACAGGCACTTGGTTAAGATTTGGATAGCTGTCTGAAAGGTACCAAGAAGGACATTTACAGTGATGGTAATCATTCTGAGGAAGGAGAAACCAAATACAGGGGCATCTGGAAAGGGAAAGAGGCTCGAAAAAGTCAAGATGGCAGTTTCCACCACTCTTCCATGACACCATCTTACTTTTTGGATCCCCTACATACACCCCTAAATCCCTGGTTTTGAATACAGTATTGGCTGGTAGTCACAAAACACAGATCCAATACAAAAAAAATAAATAAAACTGTGACTGATCAGTTTGCTAAGAATTCATACAAATGAAATAATTAGCCAACCCAAAACTAGATAAGTGTAACATTTCAGATAGAAACTGCTTCTAAACAATAGAAATTTTTTAAAGTGTGACTCTTATACTCATGAATCTTGCACCCAAAGAGGGCTCTTAATATTAGTGTTAAGGTGCCCTGTTGTTAGGCTGCAGGCATACGCTTACCTTAAAGTAAGTCCACTCAACTATAAGAGCCTTACTTCTGAGGAATATGTATAGGATCATACTGCAATTAGCTATAAAACAGCTTATGTACCACAAAGCCCATATTATAGTCATCCCACAAGCTCCCAATGGTATATACATTTTGAAGCATGCTTATTTTTTTTTCCATATTTAGAAATCAATATTTGAACAAAAACAAAAATGCCTTGCATGTTGTTTTTGTTTCTTTGGTCTTTAGATAGGATTTTTTCCTATCTTCAGAATTCTACATAACTTGCATATATACATACCTATTATCAAAATGGATTAGGATATTCCCTTTAAATTATAGCCTTCTTGCAGACATGGTTGGGTCTAGATAATTGCATTTTTTTCCTTGGAAATAATCCTATTCCTTTACAACAACCTCACCTCTATTTTTCCCCATTTTGAGCATCCAGAGGTCGCTGTACCGAGAATAAAATTCTTCCATAGATGACACTAATTAAACAAAAAGGAATTATCATTTAGTCCAAACTTAACAATCAAACTTCATTCACCTTGGATATTGATTGACCTCCCATATTTAAAACAAATAATTCAAAGAGGCCATAAAGCAAAGAGATTTTGTTAGCACATGATATAAATCAGTACATGCAATTAACCAGTTTTATTGCATTCTGCTTTTAGTCAATATTCTAAATGAAAACCCATTAAAGTTTGAAATGCATATTAGCATTGTTATGCTTAAACTACAACTCAGATATACGATGCTAATTTCACTGTGAAAGAATACATTTATTTCTATCAGACTTGCCAAAGAACTTTATAATACTGGGTATTATTAGCAGTGAATAGTTATTGGCTATATATTTTAAACAAAGTCTCAATTCTCTGAAAAACTACAACTAAATTGAAATCCAGCTCAGGATTAAAATATTTTGAACTTTGCACTAGTACTAGGAATTCACTGGCATTAATTACGGCATTTTATAATCCAATCCTTCCACAATAGCCAAACCTATTTTCTTTTTGGGAGTGTTTCTGGGTGAGACAGAAAAGGAGATTTTCTAGGAAACTGTAGTCACCATACATTCAGAAAGGGGAAACCTGGTTTAAATAGTTTTTCTCACTAGTGTCTTCCATGTGTTTGGGCTACAGCATGCTGAAATTTATAATCCTCAAGTAGCTGGAGAATTCCAGTTTGGAGAAATCATCATATGAGGTATTATGTGCCTTAAAAAGAAATTTGAATTAAGAGCAGTGACCTCATCAAAATAATACAAGTAGACTTCAACAAATGACCACACATGGGACCAGTACATCTGTTGCTAAGTGATGCTGTCATTAAATAAGTCAACCCTGATTTTATGACCTTTTTGCCACAGTTGTTAAGTGAATCACAATTGTCATTAAGCAAATACAGCTTTTCCCATTGACTTTGGTTGTTGGAAGCCCCCTGCGAAGTCACAAATGGCATTTACATGACATCAAGATGCTGCAACTGGCATAAATTCTTGCCGGTTACCAAATGCCCAAACTTTCATTACATGTCCCCAGGAACAACTGTGATGATCGTAAGTGCAAGGGCTGCCATAAGACAATTTTTTCAGCACCATCATAATTTTGAATGGTCATGAAGCACGTGGTCATAGGTCGAGGACTACTTGTATGAGATTTCCGATAATTGTTGACCCTGGGAATAATATTTCCGTGACTTCTGTCATTTCTTCCTAATTATCAGAGGTTAGTGTCTTGTTCCTAAGAAGACCTAGTGCCCAGGAAAGCATCTTCTCTGCTTTGTTATAAATGAAGCCGGAATCTAAATCTCTATTACTCAACCTTGGCAATTTGAAGAGGTGTGCATGTCAATTTCCAGAATTCGATAACCAGCATGCTGGCTGGGGAATTCTGGGAGTTGACATCCACCCCTCTTCAAGTTGCCAAGGTTGAGTAATACAGCTCTAAATTAAAGTGTGATTGCCATGAGATCAAACTGTTTCATTAAAATCCCAAATACTCTTATAGAGGCAACTGAATCTTCCCAACTGAGCAGAACATGAGAAGGTCCTTCTAAATTTTGATCAAGAGAACAGTACCTTCTTCCAAACAGGGTTGTAAAATCACTTTGGACAGTTCATATTATAAAGAAAAATTGAAGACATCCCTTAAGTATTAAAAGAAATGCTGTTCTTGTATCCAGGTAGCTTAAACAGAAATATGATGGCAGAGGAAATAGAAAGCATTATGTGACAACAATAATGTATCTCAGCAGCATAGGGATTCACTGAAGTCATGCAACTTCCCAAAATTTTGTAAAAAATAGTCTACTTTCATATGGAAAATGTTCCAGGAGAAAAATTGAGTATGCCTGAAGAATCAGATATAAATGAATGAATATCACTGATTAGGTAAATGTAATTGTCATGTATTGATGTACATTTGTGAAAACGTATGTATCAGTGGTGAAATTCAATTTTTTTTACTACCGGTTCTGTGGGCGTGGCTTGGTGGGCGTGGCTTGGTGGGCATGGCAGGAGAAAGATACTGCAAAATTCCCATTCCCTCCCCACTCCTGGGAGACGGATATTGCAAAATCTCCATTTCCACCCCACTCTGGAACCAGCCAGAGGTGGTATTTGCCAGTTCTCCAAACTACTGAAAATTTCCGCTTCCGGTTCTCTGAACTACTGAAAATTTCCACTACCGGTTCTCCAGAACCTGTCAGAACCTGCTGGATTTCACCCCTGATATATATCTCCTGTAGTACAGGGAATATGTGTGTGTGCTTTCAAATTTAATGACTGAAACTATTCAGAAAAACATGGACATTTACCCAATAGCAATTCCTTGCCATTTGATCAGTGCTGGACCCAGTGCAATTTAATCAAGACAAACTTTAATTCAGTAGCTTATTTGGCATATAGAAAGTAGCCCTTCCTTGATATGTGTAACTGATATCAAATCAACTGAGTGGGTAGATTTATGTGGAAAAAAAGGCCATTGTGGCTATTGAATATTGCTGAAAGACAACATCTTTCAGAATTTCCAGACTTTTCTTCTTGCAGAAGACAGTTTCATTTCTCTTTTTTATTTATTTCATAAACTAGAACGTAAACTTTGCACTAGAAACAAGTTCTTTCGTTTTATGCAGCCAAAGTCATTCCTACAAATTTCCACAAGGAAAGAAAGCTCATGGAAGCGAAATAAATCTATTTTCTTTTGAAATCCTTGCTGACTTAATAAAGATGCTGAGTGTGCTTCCAAACCAGGGAAGCTAGAATAAATGGGCATCAACCCCTGGAAGAATATTCACTATCATAATCAAATCATCTCTTTCATAAGCCATTCAGTCTGCTTCAAAGAGCTGGAGCGCTATAGAACAGGATGAAGGAGAAAGAGGAGGCAGAGACAAGAAATACATGGGTTGAATGAAAGTGCATTCAGGATTGGATGGCGCCCAATAGCTTCTACAAAACGGTGTTTCTCAACCATGGTAACTTTAAGACAGATGGACTTCAACTCCCAGAGTTCCTCAACCAGTCATGCTAGATGGGGAATTCTAGGACTTGAAGTCTACACGTCTTAAAGTTGTGAAAACCTGCTGAAGAGCATGTCCACATTTATTTTATTTATTTATTTTATTTATTATTCATATTTCTATGCCGCCCACTCTCCGAGGACTCTGAGTGGCTTACACCAAAGACAGTATACTAAATAGCATATTGCCCCCAACAATCTGGATCCTCATTTTACCCACCTCGGAAGGATGGAAGGCTGTGTCAACCTTGAGTCGGTGAGATTTGATCCGCTGATCTGCTGAACTAGCAGTCAGCTGAAGTAGCTGCAGTACTGCACTCTAACCACTGCACCACCTCGGCTCATTCTTCTATTAATATATTTATTGGGATTCTGGTTTCTTTTCTGAACCTGCTAAATTCCAATAAAAGATTAGAGAATCCAAAGGACTCTAAAAACAACTGTTTTGCATAAGAGGATACTACAAAGCAAAGAAAATGCTTTTGTGTTTTGAGATTATTTCACATGCAGTATACCAGCCCCGAACTTTAGATATCCTTTTTCAGTGAAACCATGCAGTATCGCTGTGAAAGCACAACTTCAGAAATGTAACAAGGAGGATATTCTGTGGAAATATTAGTGAAAATTTGAAAAATGGATTCACCACAAATAATACTGGGCAGTCACTTGGAATCTTCATGGTTCTCATATAAGTCAGCAAAGCACAAATATAAATGATAGCACCATTGTCTTCCTATTTCTGATGTAAAAATATTTTTTTTTTAAAAAAATAGATCAATTGATCCACTGCTTTGTTGTAAACTCTTGATTTGTGTCATAGAAAGGCACAGTATAATATATATAGGGAACTGTTGTAAAATTCACAGCAAACACTGTTCTGTGGGGAAAAAATGACTTCACCTACCCACTTTAATCAATATCTGAATTAATATAGCAGGAAAATCAAATGAAACTTCCTACCTGTTAAATGAAGTATGTATTGCACAACTCAATGGCCTTACATTCTACCCATATGACGTTGTTATTTTTCCATTAAAATGGGTTTTTAATCCTAGTAATATATAAGGTACATATCTTTGATGGAAAGAGGGATGGGAATGAACGGTATGTTCTAAAGTATATTTTAAATGCATATAAAGAAAAATGCCAAACTGTTCAGCAAATGTGTTTTTCCTCATCCATTGAATAAATGCTTCAGAGTCGCATTATACAAGTATCTCTTTGCCTGTGTCCCTGGGGAACTGTTATCCAAAATATTACAGAGCCAAAGGCTTTTTCCAGGTTGTCTTTAGAGTGCAAGTCATGATAACAGATGACATCTATTGAAGCTGGCACGGAACACCTGCGTCCTCCCTTAATGAGGGTGACTCACACCCCAAAAATAGTTTCCATGTGAAGATCTGAAGACAATCCTGTTGTCCTCAAGGCCACATGCCTGGATTTGCTACAGAATGTGCATTTGGAGAAATTCTGCGAGGAAGTCTCATCATTGCCGCCTTGAAGAAGAAGAGCTGCACCCAAACACAAAAGCATATATCGTATTTTTCTGTGTATAAAATGACACTTTTTCTTTAAAATATTTACCTAAAAATTGAGGAGCGTCTTATACACGGGGGACCGAGAGGAGAACTGCGGTTGCAAAATTGCCAATAACTTATCTCCGCAAACTAGCCTCAGGAGCGAAACTTCTGAATGCTTAAAATATTGATTCCTGAATTTTGGGTAAGAAAAATGGGGGAGGGGTTGTGCTATACATGGGGGCGTCTTATAGACGGAAAAATATGGCGCTCTGTCTGTCTTGTCTGCTGCTGTCCTTAGCAAACCAGTAACTCCGCCTTCCTTTTTCCCAACAACATACAGTATGAGGAATTATCTCTTCATTACCTTGGCTCTGTCCAAGGTACTCTTTTATCTTGTACAGAGCAGCCAAAGCTTAAATCAGTTTCCTGATGTAATTTCATAGTAAATTTAAGCATTCCCTTGAGTCTAGCACAACTCCTGGTAATAATATGGATGCACCCCAAATAAGTTTTGGGGCAATAGCACAGAAGTGTTGTGTGATTTCCTACTCCAGAGATGATTTTCTGTTCCTCGCTGTAACGTGTAGCCCTGGAATTTCGTAGTGGCCTCACCCATCCTTGTAGTTACAGGAGCAACTTTTCTGAGCTTCAGAGTCCAAATATAGTCAGTTTAAGTACATCTGCTTTAAATAAACATTTGCCATTAGAGAAATAAATTTGTCTGTTTTTTTCATCAAAGTGCTAAAAGCACCATATCAGAACTTTTCCTGCTCTTTACTTGCAACTCATCTCACTACTGTCGCTGACAAAAATACATGCTATGTTTAAGATGATTAAATGCAGTTGATCTGCTTGCAGTCTGAAATTCTTCCTCTGTTCCTGGCAAATATAAATCACACAAGGAGGTCCATTTCCTGACTTTCATAATCCAGATTCTACAAGCAGCTGAGAGGGCCCAGAAGGGATGAAACTGTTTGCTTTGTGTTTAGTCCTGGCTGGGATGAAGGAGAGGATTAAATATTATTCCTGTAACTTTAAGAACAATTGCATTGTTCTGTCTCTAGCAACAGGAAGCAGTGGATGATCGCTACTTTTGAAGGGGTTTGAGAATTTTCAGGGGGACTGGCATCAATGCAAGTGAGTGAGAAACTCAGGGCAACAGAGCCAAACATCTTCACTGAACTTGGATTTGGGCACAACAGCCAGTTGAAATTAAAGCTGAGTTTTCAGATGAGAAGAAGCATTTGGAAGAACAAGTTGCTAACTTGGATTGCTTCAGACCAGATGTCTAGAGTGGTGGAATAAGTTACCCCTCAAACACACATGAGCTACCAATTGCCTTTGCTACCAATTCTATAATATTTCCCATACATACAATCTATGTGAACTGCCTAAAGCAGGAGTCAGCAAACTGCAGCTCTGGAGCCATATGTGGCTCTTTCACCCCTCTGCTGTGGCTCTTTGTCATTCAAAATATGCATCACAACTGGCAATGTGCAACACCTGCCGGCACGCGATTTATTGAGCTTTTCAACCCCCGGTAGGCCAACCATGGATAAATGCAAGAAAAGAAAAGTTTCAGAAGAAAAACAGAATGTTTAATTCAACTACATATGCTAGTTTTGTGGCTGCTCAAGAAATAGTCAAGCATAGGAAGGGTATTGTGGCTCCCGGTGTTTTCTTTTCTATGGAAAACGGGTCCAAATGGCTCTTTGAGTGTTTAAGGTTGCAGACCCCTGGCCTAAAGTATCCTAAAGTAATAGCAAGTTGGATTGACCTGCGTGGTGACAAGGTAGAAATCAGATAGGAACGTGTGGCCATGAAATCATACTCTTCTATATTCAGTGACCAGATCTCAAAGATATAGCAGTATGCTGACCTTGTGGGAAGAGATAAGAGACAAGAAGGTCACACACATGGGTTTATAAACAACATTCTTATATCTTCTGTAATTTACACTGTGCTCGCCTCTCTTCGTCTTGTCTTTGTAATGGGTATATAAACTGTGGTTCTGCTTTTGTTCATGGCGGCTCAGCAAGCTGCTCGTGGTTTAATGAGAGACCAATATGCACTGTCGTTATTTGCATGTTTATTCAATCTACGTTGTATCTTTAAACTGATTTGGTTGGTTTAGGTAAGGCCCAAGATGGTGGCACGCATAGACGCTGCAGTTTTGAGCTCCTGGTGTTACAGTGGAGTGAGTATGGATTGCACCAGTAGAGGCTAAACCAATTTCGTTGTGTACGTGATGTACAAGGACAATAAAGGCTATTATTATTTAGCTGAGCCTAAATTGAAGTTCTCCTGCATGACAGACTATTCTATAAAGCAGGGGTGGGGAACTATGGCAATTTTACAACCTGTGGACTTCGATTCCCAGAATTCCTGAGCCAGAATGGCTCAGCATGGCTGGCTCAAGAATTCTGGGTGTCGAAGTCCACAGGTCTTAAAGGTGCCACAGTTGCCCACCCCTGCTATAAAGTGACGTGTTGGTCATAACCTGTTGTGGCCCGCCAGCGGCCTGCGAGGATCGTGGCTGATCCCTACGATGAGGAGGCTGGTGTGGTGTCGTGCCAGCAGCCTGCACAGCCGGCGCTCACGTTGGACAGCGAGGAGGCTGAAGAGGATGTGGTGCCAGAGGCAGAGACTCAGCCAGGGCCTTCAGAACCTCCAGAGGCTCCTTCAAGTGGAGAGAGCGAAGTGGAGGAGCCTCTCCTCAATGCTCGAGCACGCAGGGCTGCCAAAAGGCAGGAGTGGCTACTCAGGAGGAGGAGGTCTCCTCGAGAGTAAGGCTTGAGGATAATTGGCCATTCCCTTAGCCTATTTAAATCACAAGCTGTTAGTAAGTTTCTTGCTGGAAACAACTTGTAATTATCATCAGAGCATTTTTGGAAAAGTCTTATCATATCTTGTTTTCTGGGCTGGTTGCCAACCTTTGCCGGACTTTGGTTTATTCTTGCTACTTAATAAATTTGATAAGGGCCGTTGGTGTGTGTCAATATCCTCGGGAATCCGGAGCTGGGGCAGAATATAACCAGGGCTATGATGCCAAATACGATCGTGCTTCAAGTGAAATGGATTCTCACTGTGGTTTTGAAATGTGTGTGCTCTACCACTTCGCTAGCTTCTTCTCTTAAAATGTTTAAATATTTTTTTAGCCTTTTGGTAATGTCCGTGGATGGCAAGAGAAAACTGTCTTTTTTTCCCCCCATATTCCTTCAGGCAGAAATATACCCAACACACTGCACAAGCTAAAATCCATGAAATCAATTTCTTGCTGGCTCAGATGGCCATGGAAATCCGCCAGGCATGTGGTTATTTGGCTTTAAAGGGACATGGGAAAAGAATCCCCAAGCTGAGCTTGTCTACTAGCAAAAATGCTTATTTTAATCAGCAACAAGACAGAAGTGACTTGTCTGGAAATCCTCAATGGCCACTCCCAATGCTTGTGATTCAATTGACCTGATCATAGAGCTACAGACAGCCAACCAATAAAGCAAAGGAATGATCCACTTTGCAGATATCCCTGACAAGAATTAAATTCAGATTTAAGTCTCTTTTCCTCTGAGAATACAGCAATTTCTACTCCAATATCCATCCACAACAACAGTCCTATCAGTTGGGTTAAGAGTGATTATTTAAAAATCACCTGGTTAATTTCCATGAATGAGGATGGATTTCAGTTTGCGTCACCCAAGTCTTCGTCCACAGCTTTAATCATTTACAACCATAATGCCTCCAAAATAATTAGTGCATTCCTTTTTTATGTATGTTATCCATCTAAAGGAATGGACAGAACTTTTCCTCTGGTAGAGCATACCTAGCTCCCAAGATCGGATGCCCACCACTTTTAATAACAGACGTTTTATATGTGAAAAAATGTGTTTATTTATATTTTACAAAACTTTTTACACTGTAAAAGAAATGAAACAATATAAAAAAAAATCAGCCTTATTATGAATTACAAATTGTAAAATTTTATTTTCACGCAAGCATCTTATATCATCCTGTAACATTGTTTAAACTTCATAGCAGCATACAGAATATTTAAACACGCTAAAGACTATAGCTGAAATGAGTTTCATTCTAGGTTTACACTCTGAGAAATTGCAAGTTGTAAGGTAAGTGAAACTTGCAGAGTTTGGTTTAGAAGAACCTATAAAGACAAACTTACAAAGTTTAAGGAAGTTACTTCTTTGAGGACTAAAGAATATCATTTCTATTTTCCGTTATATAATATACCATTAATGAGGAAACAAAATAAAATACACTGTCAATTTAAGAATTAATGGAGATTTGAATATCTAATCATTCTGATTAAATAGTCAATTACATTCTCCAATAGCCAAATTTGTCCATGCATGCCATATATAAAACTGGATTAATTTTGTTGTTGCTGTTATTGTTACTATTAATCCTGCTTTGTTTTCTTCAACATATCATTGTGAAAACAGAAGGCATGGTAGGTCAGACACATATAACTACCCCCCAAAAAAATTGCATAACGTCAAAAGGATGCAACCTGAAGATATTGTACATATTTCACAGGTAACCAATAGGAAGGGGGAAAGTTATCTCCTCCAACAGCCGATGAATTAGATCGATTTGTTCCAAAGATGAAATCAAATGAGATCAAGAGTAACACAACTGGTGATTTACCTCATGCAGCTGTTCAAATTCTCGCTGCCAAGTTTTACAAGAGTGAGAAAACGAGCCTGTCCCAGATCCACGGTCGATCTAGTTGATAAAACTTAGAAATGATCAGGCTGGAAGTGGAAAAGTCTGGGAGCGTAGGGCTCGGTCTCCGCAGCCGTCTTCTGACCCGTGCAAGCATGGAAATGCTCCTCCTGAAAGTTAATCCAGCCTTTCTGTGCGCTGAACCTCTCGGCTTCAGACAGGATCCGTGTCAGGGCCATGATGTAACTGAGCGCCATCTGAAGAGTCTCGTACTTGGAGAGCTTTTTGTCTTGCCCCCACTGGGGGACCACTTTGCGGAGGTGGTCAAAGGCCATGTTGAGCCCCTGCATCCTTCTCCTTTCCCTGGCGTTGGCGGCCAGCCTGCGCTTGGCAGAGTTCTCCAGCCTTTCAGAGCTGCCTTTCTCTGCGCAGCCTGCCTCACTGCTGCAGGGGAAGCCAGCATCTGCACTGGGAGTCTCCTTGGGGTTTGGTTTGCAGGGTTTCATGGGGGAAGCTTTTGCTGAAGTGATTTTAAAAAAAAAAGCTGCTTGCAATAGGTCTTCAAGAGAAAATACTTTCCTCAACTTCAAGAGGATGGACTTATTGTGAAAAGCACCATCTTTCCCAAATTACATATCATTCAATAGGTATGAAGTGGCCCCTGTTTTGGACAAACCAAGAGCGAAACCTGGCGTTCCCCCCCACATTTGCTTGGATCTTGAATCTCTTTCTTCATTTCCTCTCATTTTGAAAAGAAGCAAGCGGCATCTTCGCCTTCAAAGGTTCCAACTTAAAACGGGAAGAAAATTTACAGCGCGTGCCAAGAGCTCACTGTATGTCAAAGAGTTTTGGTGCACCTCTGTCCCAAAGGGTTACTGCTTATGAAGGCAAGGCCAGGTAGGAGAAAGTTCTACCAGAAATCTTCCAGAGCAATCATCTCAGATCCGTCGTGGTGACCTAAAGCAAAGCTCTGTTGCTTCCTCCTGGGCTCTGAGCCCAAGTCACAAGTCAGGGAAGTCTTTATAGCAGCAGGAGAAGGAGCTGAACAGGTTGTAGCAAGTGGGAGGGTGGCCCTCTGCTCCTCTCCCAGCACCTTGCTACCCTGGGAACAGGATGCACACATGCGCATGTCCAGGAAAATCCTGACATTGCAATCTGGGTCTCCCAAAGCCTGGCCTGTCTGACTTGACAACTTGCCATCTGGAGCAGCGTCTGGCCTGACCCCACAAGAATCGCCACAACTAAGCAAAGGTCTATTTTTTTTCTCCCCCCAACGAATCAGCTTCTGCAGCTCAGCAAAAAGCTTTCCTGACACATCGCTGGGTTGCTCACTTGCCATAAGGTGCTGGGGGAAGGGGGTGGGTGGGTCGGAGAAGGGGCTATTATGTGTGAACCCAAGAGGACATAAGAGAGGCAGAAAACAAAACAAACATTAGAATCTGGAGATTCTCACAACTCGCTTGGTACAGCAGAGAGAGAAGATAAGTTGAGTTTTTACTTCCAAAGAATAGCTGAACAGTAGTTTTAAGGAATAATCACTGCTCAAAAAAATAAAGGGAACACAAGCAGAAGACATCCGAGATCTGAATGAATGAAATAGCCTTTTTAAATACTTCGTTCGTTACATACAGTAGTTTTGTGTTCCCTTTAGTTGTTTGAGCAGTGTATAAACTACTGTATGTAAAGAACAAAGTATTTAATAAGGCTATTTCATTCATTCAGATCTCGGATGTCTTCTTGTGTTCCCTTTATTTTTTTGAGCAGTATATTTTTGTGGTATTGCGAAAGCATGTAAAAGAGATTTGTCAGCCTGCTTTCCAAATAGTAGACAAATACTATCACAGATAGATATTGACTGCAAAAAGCAGGTGATTTTCTAAATAAGAAACAGAAAATATTACTTTCTTCTTTCACAGCTTATATTGGTCTTCTTAATAAGGCATTTTTTTTCATCTTTTTTTTCTTTCCCACTTGAAAATGTGATGTAAGTTTAAGGTGAAAGAATATAATTTCCAGACTAATTAAATTATTACTGAGTATTTGTTTGCAAGTCATGTTTTCGTTCAGTTTTGTAACACGGCATTTTGATCTAAAACTGTGGGTCAATTGTTCCGGTTATGACTCCAAAACATCACGTGATTGCAAACAGTTGATTAAACCTTCACAATGACAATGAATGGAGTCGAATAACCTGAAAACAATAGGATTCAATTGAACATTAGTGATCTGCAGCATGACAGATGTTGAGCCCAGCCTGTTAGCCGCAGTTATTCCACTCTTTATATTCTGCTTCCTAAATGGGCTTGTTAATGGGAAGAGAAGGCTGAGCATCTCCAAATTTCAGCAGCATTTTTCCCACTTATGAATGGCACTGCCCTTGTTCCCACAAGATAATTCACATATTCCTTTTTATCTTTATTTGCCTTCCATCCGGTCAAAAAAACTGCTTCTAGGTTCCATATTATCTTCTCAGTGAGATCTGTAGCTGTGGCTGGGCACGTTGGTTATGTGTAAAAGGAAAGACATAAAGCTGTTGATTTTTGTGAAGCTTCAAACTGGTGTTTCAATGCCAGTCAATCTTCCGTGTTCCCATTTGAATCAATATTGTGAACTAATCAAACTGTACTTAACTCTTTCCTCTGTTTGAATCAGTTTTCAAGCCATACTATTTCTGAAGAAATGCAGAACGCCAGAGTTAGAAGGGACCTTGGAGGTCTTCTAATCCAACCCCTGATCAAACAGGAGACCTTGGCTGTCCAATATCTTCTTAAAAACCTCCAGTGATGGAGGACTCACAATTTCTCGAGGCAAGCCATTCCATTGATTAATTGTTCTGTCAGGAAATTTCTCCTTATTTTTAGGTTGGATTTCTCTCTCTCTTTTTTTTTTTTTAATTTGATTTATATGCCGCCCTTCTCCGGAGACTCAGGGCGGCTTACAATGCGTTAAGCAATAGCCTTCATTCTTTTGTATGTTTTATACAAAGTCAGCTTATTGCCCCCACAAACTGGGTCCTCATTTCACCTACCTTAGAAAGGATGGAAGGCTGAGTCAACCTTGAGCCTTGGAGAGATTCGAACCAGCAGAAATTGCAGGCAGCTGTGTTAATAACAGGGTGCACTAACCACTGTACTATCAAGGCTCTTTGATAAGCTTCCCTCTGTTATTTCTTATCCTGCCTTCAGGTGCTTTTGAGAATAGGTTAACCCCCTCTTCTTTGTGGCAGTCCTTAGATATTGGAAGACTGTTATCATGGCATCCTTAGCCCTTCTCTTCGTTACACTAAACATACCAATTCCTGCAACCGTTCATCATATGTTTTCGCCTCCGGTCCTGTAATCATCTTTGTTGCTCTTCTCTGAACTCTTTCTAGAGTCTCAACATATTTTTATATTGCAGCAACCAAAACTGGATGCAATATCCTTATAATATTTTCATGGAAACTCTGCACAGGCTGAATTACTGGATCAAATCCTAGCTTATTGGCAATTGGAAGTGTTGAGAAGATAGGCGATGAAGTTATCATTGTGATTATTAACCACAAATAAATGGAACAATCTATTAGTTAACATAGATTTTAATTATCATAGAAAGAGACTTAAGGAAGCCAAGGGAGAAGAGGAGAATTTGTGCTTCAAGGACTGATCAGAATATTGAAATTGAAACACTACTCCAATTTACACTAGCTATAAATGCTGGAATTTGAACTTCAATACGTTTGGCAAGCATCAGGTTGAAAAACATGGTGCCATGGGGGAGTCCACTTGTCCATGTGCCTGGATAACAATCCCACAAAATGCCTGTATTTACTGTCAAGGAAAGTGTTAAGGTACAGGAAGGTTGTAGATCAGAACTCAGTGGGTACTTTGGACTAGTTACTTCGCACACATCTTGTTATTGTTGTATAAACAAAATGAAGGGAAATCTACCTTGATTTTACTGTAATCCTAACAGTGGGGGAGGGGGGAGGATAGAATAAGAGAAGAAGAAGCTACAGAAATTAATTAAATAAGTAAGTAAGTAAATAAATAAAATTGCAATTCCCAAGTATTCTGCTAATATACTATAATACACGTTTTAAAGGAGAGAGCTACTCACGTGGGAAAATGAAGATCCTAATCACAATAGCTGGTGAGAAATACAGAATTAAAACATGGTAAATTTAGAATTAGTATGCAAGCAAATATGTGAGAAAGCTTGGCTATTTTAAGTTCCTAAACAATAATTCCAAGGCACACTTAAGGGCTGGGAAATGATGGCATTCTACTATAATTAGAACCAAGTCTTTGCCAAGCATTCAAGGATTCTACAGAATAACCCTCCAGCTGAGCCTGTAACGTTATTCATGTTCACTCCAACTCATTACAGGAGTTAACAAAATTTTATTTATTACAAGATTTATGCCCTACAACAGCACTCCCAAACCTTTCTGGCTCTGTGGACTGGCAGCGGTGACGGCAACAGTGCAGAGGGAGAGAGGGGATGGTATTGTGGCCCGCCAGATTTGGATGATGAAGAAGTTGGGGAAGAACTTGGGCCAGTTTTGGAGCCTGGGGAAGGCTCTGATGGATGCTCACTGTTGGACACAGAGATAGAGCCAGGGCCGTCCGGCATTTCGCAGCCACCAGAGAGGGAATCAGAGATGAGTGAGGAGGAAGAACAGCTGGGGCCTGTTCCAGATGCACGTATGCGCAGAGTAGATAGGAGAGGTGAACAACAGAGGACAAGTAGTCAACTCGGGAAGCAAAACAAACGTGGACGCTGAATGGCTCCTCCCTGGCTGGGGAATAAATAGGAGGAAAGGGGAGTGGTGGTCGTAGCAGACAACCGTTCGCATTTCTGGAGATTTTGCTCATTGTGTTTCGTGCAACAAAGTCTGCCTTGCCAGAACTGAGGTTTGTCTATTTAAACTGACTTCATTTGCAGCCTTTCTGCTGGGAGCTCACGGCCTTGCAATTATCGTAACAAGCTGATAAAGGCCTATTGCTTCAGTTAACTCCTTGCAAGGACTCTTGCCTGGACTTTGTGGGTGAATGCAGTTAATTCACAAGGTGTAAATAAAGAGGGGTTTTCTTTGCTGGGAGTCTGTTTCTTTCTTCTGCAAAGGCTGGGTCAGAACAGATGGTTTTATGTGCGTAAACCAGTGGTAGGATTCAGCCGATTCTGTCCAGATCGCGCGAACTGGTAGCGGCGACTGTGAGAGACTCCGCCCACCCGCCCAGACATAATGCGTGACTATTGCGCGCTCACATTTGTGAACTGGTAGGGAAGGTAAGTTAATCCCACTTCTGGCGTACACCCACCATTTGTGCAAATGGAACTTCTCGCATTGGTGCGCTCACCCACAACTTGTGCGATCCTGTTTCAATGGACTGCAGACCAATACCGAGCCAGAGACTGGAGGTTGGAGACCCCTGCCCTACAGTACATACAGTACAGTGAGAAGTGCCTACAATGGTAAGCCTATTAAGCAACACCCCTTCCACTTTAATAAAGATGGCAAGCACCTGCGAGAAAGGCTAAAACAAAGAAAGCAAGATACAATAAATGCAGATGTGAAACATGCCCAGTTAGACTCGAATGCTGTGTTTGATCGCACAAATGTGCTTATTGATCCCAAAAACAGGCTCTGCACCTGTGGGAAAAAAATGCACGATGACGACGACGATTATGATGATTATATTTATGTCCCATCTTTATTTTGTACAGTTCAGGGCAATACATCCAATGCTCCATCCTCTACTTTCTGCGTAACATCCCTATAAGGTGAGTTGAGATGAGAGAAAGTAATTGATTTCATTATCATTTCTGTAAATTGCATCCAGGGAATCTCTTACAGTGCAGTATATATTGACTTACTTTGTTCCAAATGTTTCAGATGAGAAGATGGTGCTTTATCAGATTTTTACTTCCAGTTCTCAGTACATCTGCTTGACCCACTTTAAAGCAGGGGTCTCCAACCTTGGCAACTTTAAGCCTGGCTTAAAGTTCAACTCCCAGAATTCCCCAGCCTGAGAGTTGAAGTCCGCCAGGCTTAAAGTTGCCAAGGTTGGAGACCCCTGCTATAAAGAATATTTGGTGGTCAAC